CCCCGCGACATAGAGAACACTTCCTAGGTTGTATCAGAACTGTAAATAGCAGTTGGGAATTATTGCCTCCCCCTGCCTGGTAGCCGGTAAAAATATCCACTTAAAGTCCCCATCCTTCCCAATTTCCCCAGCGATGTGTGTGAGGAAGCGAAATGTTAAATTTTCTTATATGAGCACAATGCAATGTATCCTATAAACCGTAGTCTATACATATATACATATTCGTACATAGAGTACATATAGCTTAGAATGGATATGCTTATATTGATAAGAGCCGATCCTTAGACCTCCCCTCCCAAGAGTAGCAACTTAAAAGATACAAACTTAGCCTAGATTAACTTCTTCAGCCATCAGCCATATGATACGCAATAATTGCTTTAGATCAAGTTCAAGTCGTTGTGATTTTTGGAAACCGCCTATCAAAATCCGGGTCTTTATAAACCAATGAGGCGAATATACATAGATATGGTATGGAACAGGCCCCAGATAAATAAAATGCAGTAGCACAATCATCGATCGAGTGACAACAAAAACGAACAGCAGCTTACAAGGACTAATCCTAAAAATTAACTAGATATATGGATCACAAGCTATTATTTCGAAAACTAACTGACAGAATAGTGGTTCAATCTAATTCAATATTTCTTGCTTTACCTTATGGTTTCCATCGTTAGCAGAATTTATTTTCTTGTTGTTTTAATTTGAATTCTACATATCAACGATCGTGTTTATGTAATAAAGCACACCTGGTTTCTAATACTATCAATATCAGTACAAACACTATATTAAAAACAAGAAACTTTTATCCTAAACTTAAACCTTCCAAGCAAAACAAACTCAATAAGATCTTTTTCTTCATCGCTAATTGTACATACGGACATCAATAAGAAAATTACGCTGTAGCTCTTCCAAAAAGTAAACTATAAATGTAAAATGTTAAAGAAATTCTTTGTAAGCTTATGTTAGGTATCAATTTAAATTGAATTTAATTATATGTAAATAATTGTTTTCCTGTTAATTTACTAAAAACTTTAGGACAGCATATCAAGCCAATGACTCGTATTTAAAGATTTTCGTATACCAACTAAATCCTTTTCTACAACTGCTTAGATTTTATAAAGAATGTGAGGAGGTTATTTTCACTTAAATGCAAAGAGAAAAAACAAATAGGAGCGATTTAATCGAATTTATAATGTTTAATGGCAGTTAATCGAAGTAACAGAAGTCCCAGTGGGAGAGTTCCCACTCATCAATAAATATCAATTCAATTAACAAAATGATTAGCAATTAATTATGCCCCAACAACTAGTTAGTTTATACATTTTTTGTAAAACCAATTAAACAATTAGTTTCACCTTTTTCTATAAGCAGATATGGATAATAATTAAAAGAACGAAAAAGAAAACCGAAAACACGAATCAAATTATGAAATATGAAAAAATGTGCGTTTTATTTTTGGAACACAGTTTGCGGTTGAAGTTTTATACCCATGCAGAGTGTATTACAGTTTTAGCCAAAAGTCCTACAGTTTCAGAGCTATTGGAATGAAACTTCGGAAAAAATATTTTTTCCGAAGCAGGTAGTCTATAAGTTGGAATAATATTACTTTACTAATAATATTATATTTTTTATTCGATATCATTTTCATTCATTTTTTATGACCCCTTTCCAAATTTTCGAAAAATGAGTTTCCAGAAAAGAGACCTAAAACCTGCACTTCTAAACTCATAACTTTTCTTACAGACATCCGATTTTAAAGTTACATACCTCCAAATGATTGTGGCTTAATCCTCTAAAAATCTGTGTTTTTACTTTAGTTTTTATTTTTTGGTCGATTTTTCGTCATTTTTCACAATGTAACCCCTTTCCAAATTTTTGAAAAATGGCTTTGCAGAAATGTCTTCAAAATAAATAAATTTTCCGATTTCAAAGTGGCATACTTCAACATGATTGTGGCTAAATTCCCTAATAAAATTAGTTCAAATCTTTAGTTACATTTTTGGGTCGATTTTTTGTCATTCTTATGATCGAAAAATGGCCAAAAACTGCACTTCTAAGCTCATAACTTTTCCCACAGAACTCCGATTTCAAAGTGGCATACTTCTAAATGATCGTGGTTTAATGCTCTAAAAATCTGTGTTTGAATCTTGGTTTAGATTTTTGGGTTTTGAACTTTTCGAAAAATACTTCTTTTACAGATATCCGATTAAAATGTGGCGTACTTCAAAATGATTGTACTTTGATTGTCCTCCCCAACCTAATAAAATGGCTTTAAAATAAATGAAACAAAATTAAAATATACACACACGGAAACACTTTCCTTGCCTTTTTCTTCCAAAAGAGACCGCATCTCAAGAGAAGGCGTAAATCTGCATCAAATTAAAAATGCGCGCGTGTGAGTTTTTCGGAGGATGGGGTGGAAATTGCGGAAGACAGTGGGACTGAGTTTGTTTTAGCGCTTGTGCATGCAGTTAATGTGCTTATTTTAAAATTTAAATTGGCTTGCGCAGTGCGCACTTGAGTAAGAACTCCACAAAAGTGGGCGAGGGGATAAGAGCATGTGTGTGCGCTCTCCTACAAGATTCGCTTTAATAGAAAGTTTGCACTGCCTTTTACTTTTTCTTGGGGGTTTTGCATAAAGCTCATGGTGTAATTAACAGTCACTTGCAGTGGCAGCAATGCGGAGCGATAGCTAGAGTATGTGCGGTTGTGCCAGGGATATATGACTGCATTAAGATAAACAACTTAATTATTTCCACAGGAGCGTACGAGCTGCACTTTTGCAGCTCCTCGAAGGAGCAGAAAATGAAAAGGAACTGGAGCTCGTCAAGAGAGTATGCTGTTGATGAAAGCAACAAGGCTTCAACAAGCTAATTAAATACTTTGAAGATTGTCAGGAGACTTAAGAGGTCAATAAAACTTGTGAGGAGAAAAACAGTTGACCGCAAAACCAAACTAATGGCAAGTCTATTTTAAGCTTTCTTCCAATCTATTGTTACGGTCACACACGTGTCGGCATTTCAAAAATGATATGTCCACACAATGAACTTAAATAACTAAATTATTTTCAGCTCAACTAAAGCAACTTAATTGGAATCGAGACATGTGTCCAATATCAACAAGACGAAAACGCTGGTTCAAGTTCACCTTCAAATTTATAATAAAACTGACCTAGCCAATAAACAGAAACACAAAAGAGATTTTATACAACTTTTATTGTGTACTAAAAATTCAATGAATCTGAAACTTAAGGAAATTAAAAATACCTTACTAAATTAAAATAAAACCAATTAAAAATGTGTCCTCAATAATTGTTTGTTAGGTCTCCAACATTTTCATTAAATCTAAAAAGTTCAATTTCGAGTTTTATTATTAGACTTTCTGAAAACATTTGACTATGATTGCACTATTGAAGTGCGAAGGCAATTAGCTCGGTCTCCTGGAAACCTCAACTCCATTTTGTGTTAATCAAAAGTTTCGGTGTTCTCTCACTTTTATCCCCATAACCCCTCACCTTTTAACAGCAAACTCCGAAAGTTATCCTGGCAGTTGTGCCGGAGAGCGTTTTGTCATTCATTACAAATTTTCACACATGGCCCAATTAAATTATTCAGCCCCATACACACACTCACCCCGAATAGTTTTAATTAAATAATAGATACAAGCTACCTTAGCTAGCAACTCTAGTTGTGGGCGTGGCACCATACTACCAGCTGCTCTGGCTGCTTTTTTCCTCATTTGGTACTCAACTTTTGGCAGATGGAAAAGTTTTCCAGCACAAAACGACTCCCGAGACAAAAGCCTATGGCCGAATTAAGGTGAATATGTGTCAACTGTACCAAAATGTTCGAGTGTCTTTATCTTCCACCCCTCCCCTTCTTTCGACTATCTCCATCTTGTGGAGCTTGTAAGACATTTAAAATTAATGTGCTATGAAGGCGTTTGAGAGCTTACAAGACAATCCAAAGACAAGTCGAGGACATGCAGCTGTTAACATAATCCCACCCACTACATAACGCTTTTCAACACTGCTCGAAGTAGTTTAAAGTTGAGAGCAGATTTCATCCGTTTTTCTTGGTAAAACTTAAAGTGGGTCAACTTTAAATAAGCTGAACGATATGTTTGACAATGTGGTTCAGTGTTGAACAATGAAATAAAAAGCGAACAATAAACTTTATCGACCTAGAAATTTCTTGCGAGGAAGTGCACTAATGTAATAAGGGATGTATTTCTATTTATTCACTCGTAACCGCACGCATGAGGCACACAATTAACCTTTGCACAACTCCATTCAATATAATAGTTTGTAAACACGGTTTGAAGTGCTCATTTTTCATTCAGAAAGTACAGCTTTTCTTGGTAAAAATTAAACAATGACCTGTAATGGGAACAAGTATCATTGTCCTACGATTTGTTTGCTAAGCACTCAAGGAGGGGTATGTCACATAGATCTTATCGCTTATCTGCCTGACCATACGATATCACAGGCACATGTTAGCCAATTATCATTTGCAGGGGTTACTAGCAATTGCGTTTTACAGTAGCCATAAATGTAAAAGAGTTATAGGTATTTCCACAAGTGCGACACAAGTGTCACAAATCATGTGACTTAAGAGTCATAAAGAAAGTCTGTTAATTCCTCTTGTATAAGAGACACTCAATATACATATATGTATATATAATTTCAATTATTATTTCATTTATATGTATTATTTCAAGATTTATCATACGATAACACATTTCTCCACCTAAATAAAAAGAAAATGCTTAAGTAATTTATGTCTAATGAAAACGTATTACCCTATTTTTAAATTTCTGAAATATTTCCCGACTTGTCTTATAAAGCTTGTATATGAAGACCATACCTGGACATCCAATTTTATCATTTTTTATCGTGATCACACACTCATCTGATAACAACTGATCGATTACCGACTTATGTTAGGTAATTGCCTGATGACCAACCGCGACATGTATATGTCTTCAGTTCTTGAACTGAGTCCGAGTCACAAGCAACCCATTACCCATAATGTCGGCGAGGACATATGCTTTGGGCCTAATTTGCCTTTTGGTTTTCCTTCTAGGAAGTTCCACGACCCAAGCCCAGGCTAGTGATTATGTGGAACTCTGTAACTTAACCAGCAGCATCGCTGTGGATCTTAGTCAGGTGAGAGAATTGCTGAATTTAAGGCACTTCCAGAGTTAACCTGAAATTTCCAACCAGTTATCTGGCATTTGGTGGGAGGTGGCCCGTCAGCCGTCCGCAACCGACTTTTGCACCGAAGTCAATATAACAGTGCTGCCAAACCAAGTCCAGGATAATGTCTTAATCGATACCACATATGCCGTATCGCCCGATTACCCGTGGGTGAATCAAACTATGAATGCCACGATCACCGTGGAGAACGTAACTATCGAACAGGATGGCTTCAACTTCACCTACTGGAATCCGCCGGGCTACACCCCCTATACAGTGTACAAGGTCCTTTACACTGACTACACCGACGCGACCCTCATTTGTGGCTATACGAATCAGACCGACATGTCCACCTCATTCGGCATAATCCTCTCCAGAGATCGTGTTCTCACCACCGATGCACTGAATAAACTGGAGAGCTTTGCCTTTGGCCTGTCCTCGAACTTCTTGAATGGCACTATGTCGGTGATAACTCAGGGCGAATCGTAAGTACAAATTGATACATGATGAAGTAAAACTTAACAATAAATATATATATATATGTATATATTATATATATTGCATTGAGAGATATGAATATATCATATGTTTCGTTTTAAAATTAATAACCCAATATCTTATGAATATAGTTTTATTCCTTCCAGTTGCTATGCACCATCCGGAGCCGATCCCTCTACCATCGTTTCCATGCTGTTGATTGCCCTGGCCTTTATTATTGTCAATTGTGTTGACCGTCAATTAATTTAGTCTACAAGAAAGATAACCATTTTCGCTTTGGTTTTCAACTAACCTCACTTAACTTATCTTAACTTAAAACATAATTTGCGTTGCATAGAACTTTAAATGTAAATATCAAAACAAAAAATAAAAGCATTCGTATTCATTATCTATTTATTATTATTTTTTTTGGGCTTTAGCTAAAATTAAACATGTGTCCATATCTGCCGAATGTTTTTAGCACTTGAAGACTATGAATTACTTTAGTACTTTTCCAGGTTACCGATTGCTACTTAAAAATGTATATATGCTATATTAAAAATGTTTCTTTATCGCAATTGGGGTTTCTTTCTCCTCATGTTTTGTTTTTTTTGCATTCTTGACTTCATTTTCATTGATGACTCAGTGTCTGCCAGCGATAAGGCCATTTAATCCAGAAGTCAAGACGTTTCCTCTCTATATGTATTTTTGATAAAGGGTAATAGATCACTAAAAGGTTTAGATAAAACTCGAAAATGGAGACTTCAATTAATTTAATACTTGTTTTTGTTATCTATGGGGAATGATAAGAAAACGTACCTTGTTTATGGCATTGCCGAGTGTAAAGAGTGAGTAATGTAAAATACTACAACAGCTTTCAGACGGGAAAAAACGTAATAAAAATAAAGTAGGATATCTAAAATAAACAGAACTTCCGAGTTTTAAACAAAATGTGGTTATTGTGGTATTATAATTATTTTTACAATATTAATTTATTATAAGATATGCAAACATAATAAAACAATAAATATTTTATACCCTTTTGTATTTGCATAACACTTTATATTCAGCCGTTTTAACCAATTATACAGTTATTGTAGTTCAGCTATATGGTTGTTAGCGATAACGTGTCTGTTAGCCTGCAAGTCTATTTTTGGCCAAAAGTATCATTTCCTGGAAAACCATGTCCAAGAGCTTTGCAGGTAAGATAGCTTATTGTCCAACGTGCAGGGGAGTTTTCAAAGGAGCAAGAAGAAAGGCGAAAAGCAATAACAAGTACACCCGATTGTCAGAGCCCCAAGGGGATTAGTCATACAATGGAGCGATAACCGACGTCAGATGTACGTAAATCAGTGACAGAGACCAGGCGCCTCCACATGTGCAGGCATTGATAATGGCTGCGAAAATACTGGAGAAAGATACACGGCTATAAAAGCCAGCCGCGGATGGGCAGCCAGTTCAGTTGAACGACGCACTCGCAGCGAATCGATCGCAGAGCCGGAACCCTAAAGATATAGAACCCAAACCGAATAAAAGTTACAGTACCGCAAGTGACATCATGTGCAAAAGTGTGATGATTTGTTTGGCCATCGTGGCCTCCCTTTCGATGGTCTTGGCCCAAACCCAAACCCAGACCTGCGCTCAAGCCAACAGCCTGGACTTCAACAACCAGACCTATGTGAGTGAGAAAAATATTATTGGTGTTATTGCCAATAAATGGCATCAAATTAATTGGATAAGTGAAAACAGATCGCTTTGGATTTTGACAAACTTAATTAAAAGGAAAATAGTCATTGTATTTTGATTGGTGACTGCAAATTTGTAAACGGACAATGACAAATGGCAGAGCCATTCATTTCTATTACTAACCATTTTTTCTAGCTTCATGGGCTCTCGTGATAAAATGAATCAAATCGCTTCGCGAGCTAAAAATAATGTTTATTTCATTTAATGGATCGTTTAATGTCCTGAAAGCAAGGATTTTCTACTAATCAATAATTAAATGGACTTTAAATTTTATAAAACAACTTAATTTTAAGGCGCTTGCCAAGTACAATTTTTAAATGATCGATCGCCAAAACTTAAAAAGAAAATGTATATGTAAAGCACTATTATAAAAATGCCTCTTTTCCCATTTTCCAGTTCAGTGGCCAATGGTTGGAGGTGGCCCGCAATCCGGCCTCGAATGTGTCCTGCATTACCCTTAACGTGGGCTACTTGGGCAACACCAATGTGTTGGTCAATGTCACCCATTCGAGCAGTAACGTCTCTCTACTGGCCGATGTCCATGAAAGTGCGAATATAACTCTGGTGGCTGGATCCACTACCGGCTACAATGTGAGCATTGTGCAGGGCCAAAACACGGAGTACGTCTTTATCAAACTGCTGCAGTATGTGAACAACACCTACCTGGTGGGATGCAGATACAGTAATGGCAGTGACACATCGAGCAGCGCCGGCTTTATTTTGGCCAGAGCTAATTACACGGCCGAGGGCGTGAAGATTTCTAACAACAATGCTGCCCCATTGTTTAGCAACTTCCAGGCCAACACCTACGGCAATGTCACTCAGTTGAAGTAAGTCTTAACATTAAATAGGAAAATCATTTCTACCTATTTATTGACATATATTTTAATCTTTCAGCTGCTATGCCAGCTCTGCCGGTCAGACTGTGCCCCTGACCCTGATTTCTGGCTTCCTGGCCCTCGCTCTGCTGCTGATCAAGGCCTAAGGACGAAGAAGTAACTTATTGCTGTGCCTAGCCAACTTAAAAAAGAAAATAACCAAACCAAACCAAAAAACACTTGCCTAAGCTATTGCGTCACTCTCTTTATTTAGTTTTTAGTTCACTTTAAACTCCCCGCTCTGACAAATGAGCCAAGGCAAAACGATGTCAATAAAAGTAAACCAAATTGGGTGAGGGCCCGTAAAAAAAGCCCCATGAAAAGAACAAAACTCGATAAAGGTGTAGAGACATTATCAAGTGTCTCAATGCTCTGCTGCAATCAGTGCTTTAATTTGCTGGCAACTTGTTCAAAGGTATGCGTGATAAGATAAACGCAAGTGATAACAAAATATATGACTCTGCCACCAATTCACACAACCATTGAATGGAGTTATATTTTTGTTTTTGTTCCCCCTTTGCCATTATCTTACAGGCAACTCATAAATCAATCAATGGCCGCATGTTCACAGACAAACAGATTTGATACGTTTTGCCACTGATTAATTGATTGACAAATCACTTCAGTTCACCGTTTCTACACAGTTGGCTAATTACTCTGGTTTAAGAGCCAGTTGCGTTATCGCTTATTGGTGGGATTTCAATTGGCCTATCTTTTAGATTTTATGCCCTAATGAGGTTCATTATGCGATAAGGTTCGATTCCGGGCGATTTGCTGAGATTTGTTAGGACTATACAAAAGTGTAATTACTTTATTGGCAGTAAAAAACCTAAAAAAAAACAAATTGGTTGCATCACAAAAAACAAATCCCAAGATATCGTTGTGACTTATGTCTGATAGTGTCGAAATAACAAAAATATGTCAGTGCCACAGGCAAAATGATCAAAAGACCAAATGACAATTATATTGACATTGTAAATTACTTTGCCCTTGGAAAATAAACTAAGATACTTGCACTTAAAATCAAACCAGACGGAACATTATCTTGAGGAATGTATAAACAAACAAAAAGACAGTGCATTTTAAATTGATAAGATGAGAAATTAAACAAAACAAGTGATAAATAAGAAGGTCTTAATATTAATACATATTTGCAAAGTGATATATTACACAATTTTTTTATCAAATAATACGTCTTTATCGAGACAGGCTTATTAAAAATGGTAGTATTATTAACTTACGTCATACCTTGGAAATTTCAAAACTATTAACTTGTAACAAATAAAAAAATGAAGGAAATATTATTAAGAAGAAGCACAGTCATAATTCTCTACGATATTTCTGTATGCAAATATGAACCAGTATTCCATTGCAAAAACACAGGTACTTCGCTGAAGAGCGTACTCAATATATTCATACCCAAACAATATTCTATAGCACTTGGTCAGATGTCAGAAAAGTTGTCAAGTAGAAAACCAAAAAAAAAGAACACAAAAATCGAGTAGACACTTAATTGTCAGAACGAGAATAACCAAACCATGATGTTGGAATATCAGGAGAGGACAACTCAGTTAACGCACACACTCGATTCTGTGATTTGTTACCACCACGAACTGGTGAACTGGCGAACTGCCGAATAGAAAACACTTAAAGTCCTGGCCAAGACTCAAATCAGATACAAAATCCTCGGGAGCTTCTGCCTCTTACACACTTATCGAGCTTCGGGCTGGCTGTTGCTGATTTCATGTTTATTTATTCAGCTTCAACCCAATCAGCCCACCCACACACATCCCGATCCTGATGCAAACAAACCCGCACGAATGTAAACACAAGGCCACTAAATCACTGAACACTCTCAGCTTTGGCATTCACACCACCACCCACAGCCCCCTTCGAAGGACTCTAGCTCCTGCTCCTGCTCCTGATCCTGCGACTTCTCCCCTTGCGACTTCTTTTGTTGCTGCGCTTGACCCGCGGCTCCTGTCCTCTCCTTTCCTGCCCCTCTTCTTCGGGTTTGTTTATGTTTATTTGTTGGCACAATTTGGTTACATTGTTTGCTTACAATCTACTCATTGTTTGCAGGGTTCGTTGTTGTTCTTGAAATCAAGTTTACATCGATTAAGTAGCTGTAAAATCTGTTGCCAAGAACAACATAAAGAAAGTTTACCAAAATATCCTAGTTTTTTTACATTTAATCCTCGTATATATTATATATAGTCTTTGTTTTTAAAAACGAACACTTGGTTTTATTTTATTTTGATCAAAGTCAAATCAAAAGTTACATTATACTAAATATATACTAGTTTTATCTTCAATAATTTACTATGTTAATCAAAATATATCCCTAAAAAAACGAACTATTGGAATATACACAAGCTGAATATTATTTTGTTGGAAATATACTGAAACATAACTTACCAAGCATAAAGCATATTACACTAATTAACCGCACAGCCTGAAATATCTGTGAATGCAGCATGACATTCTTACACCTAACCCGGCATAGGTATTCATGACATTCTCCGACAAGCAACTAGACAGTAATTATACAGTCTCAAGTAGCTAATCATCATCATGAAGCCGTACTCAGCTTAGCACCAAACCCACACCGAAGCCAACCGCAACAAAGTCCGGGGCCAGAGCTTTTGGTCAAATGCCAGACAAACAAAGGATGCCTCCAATCAATGCTAATAGCAATCGTCCTGCAATATACTCAAAGTGCTTAGAAAACCGAAAGCCAAGAACCACACACATTTGGGGGTGGGGAAAATGGGCGAGTGGTGGAGAGAATATTCATGGAGCAGGAGTAGACAAAACTATTAATTAATTTCCCAGTCACTGCAGGCCATCGACTTTGGAATCCACCGCATGTCGTTGACATTTCAGTCAATACAGTTTTCGCAACAGATCCCAATCTCTGCGAAGGTGGGGCAGACTAATGAATTTGCAAATGGCGTGAGACGAGTTTTTATGCAAAGCCAGGGGAACGTACAATTTGCTTAGACATTCATTTAACCTGCTATTGGCCCTTTAAACTGCAGATATATAATTGCCAAGGGCTGGAATGGAGTTTGCTGTTATCATATAAATTGAAATCTTAAGATAAGTTTGTGGCACTCAAGTCTCAAGCATTTCACAGTGGCAATCGTCACTCAAGTGTGACTGCTCCTAAGCTACTCAGAGACACTGAGAGAAACCGCAATGAAGAGCACAAAAGAGATTAAACAAATAATTATTATGAACCATGAAGTCATACAAAACTATTATTAAAGCTATATCATCTTTGTTCTCTCTTTCATATTCTTAGGTTTCGTTGTTTTGAATCACTTTTATTATACTATTTATACCAGAAACATACAATTTTTGTAAATACAAATATGAGAAATATTTTTCTCACTGCCTCATCTACTTTGCAAAACCTTAATTTATGCTGATCTCTGGCCTTTCGCCTAAGCGTTTTCACATTTGCATAGATTTCCCAAAACTTGGCAACAAAAACATGATTTGATTTCCACCAGGCAGCTGATAATACTTCTCAATATGCGTATATATGCATGAGTTTATGCGGAGCCACAGGTGGGGGTAATTGAATGGAGGTCCTCAGTCATTTACATTCAATTAACAGTTGTAGGCGAGAGCGAATTGCCATCTATGAGATACTTGTATGGCTTGTCTGGGCATTAATACTCGACCACCCATAAATATTCATGGACAACATCAGGGACAGAGTTTAAAAAGGGTGCAAGATAATAGAATTTGTCCATTGAGAAAATGGGTTATCTAGGCCTTTATTATATCAAAACAAATACTACATAATGTTAAATATCTATCATTAAGCTTTCTAAAGATTAAATGTCTGCAGTCTGGCAAGTTAATACTTTTAGTATATACAAAAAGATAAAAATTTAACCTAAATATATGTAAGTATTTGTAATTAGTCATACATAAATGTTTGATTCAGAAAATAAAACACTTTCCACATAAATAAGCTTTTACCCTTATGACGCCGCCCCTGGATAACTCAAATTGGGACCTAATTTATGCCACATGAACTTGGGCCTTTGTGTAATGGAACTGTGTTTTGTCTGTAGTTGACTTTGGGCTAGTGCATAAGATAATTACTGTTCCAGAGAAAGTGTCTTACGGATTACGTACTCATCAGGCTTTGATGACTAGTGATGAACCTCAAGATATAAGCAAGTCAGATTAAAGATGAGGCAACGTTATTATTATCATGGGCATTTCCATACATGAGTAATGGAATAAATTATGTTTTTGGCTTAATATGTTTTTATTTAAGTAACTTAAAGAGAAGTCAAAAAATTATTCTAAAATCTTGCTTACATACATACACTTTTTAAGAGATTTTAAATCACTAAAAGTTCGACTTTTGTTAAAAACATATGACTTAAATATAATTCTTTATCAATTTGCGGTAACGTTCTATAAAAAGTGGTTTTGCCCTCCCTCATATAATAAACCCCAGCGAATTACTCAACTTTTGTGCTCACCTAATTCCTGCTATCACACTCTGTTTTCTTAAACGGTGAACGTGTGAATCACCTTTTGACAGCTCGTCACATCTGCAATTAAAGCAATTAATTAAGTTGGTCTACCTCATCCCACCAAGCCGCAGAACTCGAACTGTAAAAGAAACCAATAACCTGAAGAACAACCGGTGAGAGCCGTCTCCTTCCACTCGTCCCGAAAGCATTATTTTAAATGCCAATTACAGTTGGAGCAGGAGCAATGGGTGGATATATAGAAGAGAGCTGGCGCAAATTGCTTCAAATCCATGGCGGATGGCCACCATTCTCCAACACTTTGGCTCTGTTCGCTGTCGATTTGCTACCATTCCGTCTCTATGTGAGTGGGCTTGTGTTGGCACAGGCATTATTCGTAACGAGCGACATGATCATAAAAATAAACGCAAAATATAACACAAAACGCAAACACAATAATGGCCTGGGAGTGCCTTAGTTTTTATTTTTACACCTGTTTACAAACAAAGCAAGAGCAAAAGCGAACGGAGGACGAGCAAATTTGACTGTGCCAGCACGCACACAATTAAATTTCCGGTACAACACCTACATGGGAATGCCCCGAAAAACCCTCTAAAACCCTCGAAGCCCCCCTTAAAATACACTTTGATTTCCCTGCCACAACTTTCTGGGTGTGAGTGAGTTAGTGTGTGTGTGCAGCGTGTTTGAGCCATTAAAATTACGCCTAACAGCGCGCTGTTGCAAACTCTACCAAACTGCTGCAGAAAAATACACTGAAGGAAAGTTCAACAAATTTATTGACTTTAGAAAAATTTATATTTAATGTGTTGAAGAACTCGCTAACACACTAGAGTTTTGCAGAATACTTCATTTTTGAAGAGTGATTCTTATATCTTAAATGAAAGATCAACATATAAAATGGTATTTATATTTAAGAATAAATATGATGAACATTTTAAGAAATGTGGATGAACTTCCTTTTTACCTAAATAAACATTTATAAATAAATATCTACCCCTAAAGCAGTTTTGTCAGTGCTCAAAAAGGAGACGTAAAAATGTGCTAGGCTTACGCGGCGTATGATTATTTTTCTGGCTCACTCTAACTGCTCAAACACGTTTCATTTGAAATCCATGGCACGTTTGCTCCAACAACACCACCAGCACCCGGAGACACGGAGCAATTTTCAATATTCCCGACGCCCGCCGGTGGGCGTGGCAGGTGGCGGAAATAATGCGGCGACGACAATGCCTGAGTTGCTGTCAAAATTGGCAAAAATCGACGAGGCCGCCGTCGCGCTAACTAAAAATCAAAGGCGCCTTTGCCTACTTCGATTCCTTGGAGGGCAGCTACGTGTGTGGGCCATAATATTTATGCTGCTGCACAAACACCAGCACGAACTCCTGCAAACTTAGGCACACTCATACGCACACGTTGCGTATACGTAATATTTGCTCCGGATTATTACAGGCTGGCACTTGAGATGCGCACACGTCGCACCCCCAATAAAAATGTATATATGTTTATGTATGTGCCTGCACTTAATAATAAAATTTCGTTTAATTTCGAGTTTTGAATTTCATTTTTATGATTCCTTTCGCTTTTTTCGCATTTTTCCCGCTTATTTATTTTCCCTGCCAGGTGTTCCCCGTAACGTGATAAAATTTTAATTACATTTGCTTCGGAGAAGATTGGATATTTATGTTGTTGCTACTCATTGTAATCTGATTTTTGATGCTTTGTATATTCTTTATTATGTTAATTTGGTTACTTTTCAATGTAATTAAAATTTTTTCAAACAGACTTATTGGTTTTTTTGAACTGTGATTATTGACATTAAACAGTTTAAAATTCATAACAATTAAAATAAGAAAATATAGCTTAGGGCTTATTCTTCAAATCATATTAATAAGAAGAAAAATATAGTGAAATAATTATTTATCATAATAGCACAGGAAAGGTTATCTCCACCTAGCTTTTATCTTAAAAAATGTTTAAAACAAACACTCAAATGCTTCCAAGAACTTTAGGCTGAATATTGTTTTTATGACGCATCCCAAGTAACACATGCCAGCCATTTCCGTTTATAAAACTTCAGATAACTTCAAAAGCTGGCGAAAAATCCAATTAATAATATCTATCGCAATCTACACTCTCGGTGCTGATTTCCGTTTTAAGATACTTTAGATAACTTTATGGTTCAGCTACAAATTCATTTTAGACAAATACAATCTCGACGCTGGTTATCTGAAATAATAGATACTGAAAATGAAATTCAAGTAATCTTCAATTAGTGCTCAAGAGCAACGCATACATTTACCGGAAATGCATTTCGGGGCTTATAAATTTCATTACGCAAAAGCGAAAACCTTTTGACATTGATGTCGGCTTAGTCTGTCTGAGGACTCGACTGGACAGACGACTGTCTTGTCTGCTGCCTTCTGTCTGATGTTTGTTTATCTCCCTTTTGGCTTTGCCTAATGGACGCCTGCCAACAGCTGGCAGGACACTTTGAGAAACTCAACATCGCCTGGCTCCTGCGAGTGGAAACATTGTATTCGAGTCAGGTGCGTTGTGAATTTTGCTGCAACAGTCATTATAATAATGCCACAACGAAGTGTGCTCGGAAATAATAATCAAGTTGGGTTGGGAGTTTGGGGAGAGCGAGGTGGAACCCAGCTGCTGGCATTTGATGGTTTCGTGTAGGTTGTGGTACAGCCAAGGCACTTAAAATTTCATTTAAATATGGACTTCTCGTTGAATGTGCAATCGTGCATTGTTGCAATAATCGCTTCAAATAATAACTTTAAGTGCATAATTTTATAAAGTACTCACTGGTTCTGGAATGGCCATTCTTGCCGTTGAAAGTACGTGAGCACATTTGCCTTTGGCTTAGTGAGAAACATTTTAAAAATTGGGTCAGGGCAAGGAAAAAACATATTTTTATATATATTTGCACTTAATAATTACAAACAATTGCTTACAACGTATAATATATCCAATAGCCATAAAAGCCCAAGCACATACAAAAAAATCATTGAACTTTAATCCATTTTGGATAGATAAAGCTTCTGAAATCCTTTGTGGGTGGCTGTTGCCATAACATTCGATTATTTCTACTGTCTGCCTGATTCGAGTTACTAATTTAAGTTCTTCCATACCCAATAGCATTTAGGTTTAATTGAATTTGTGTAAATGGTCAATTCCACCAGTATAAGTCGACCCCACTAATTCAGAACTTTTCACGTAGTTGTTATGCAACGTTTTTAGAGCTAATTGCTCGTATATATAAAGTATGCTTTTTCTATCGTTTGCATAACAAATCGTGAACCAAAAAGGCAAATGAGTGAGTGTAAAATGTTTGCCAGCAGACAATTTATTTAAACATTTTTCACACGAACTGCAAAAATGGCCGGCTCTGATTAAAAACAGATTTGTTCAGATTGGTTTTATAATAACCTTACCATACAGACAATTGACGTTGTCCGGCTGTAATAGTTACAGTAAAACTTTGAATTGCAAATTTGTTCTGTAATCGGTTACAGACTTTACAAAAAATAATTATTTTACCACAAGCAGATGTTTGAATTTTATAATTTAATATGGGGATATCCTATACAACGGATGACAAATAACAAATTTATCTAAATAAGAATAAAATAATTGTTAAAAGCACATTAAATCAAAATGCCTTAAGTAACTTACAAGCTTGGGACCCATTTAATATTCGTTTTTCTGTCGTAGAAAACTTATGACACCCAACAAATGTGAAAAAGTTTAAAGTCAATCAAACTTTTTAATTTTCATTTACATTAAAATTATGTTGGCATTTATTTTCCTTGCCATTTGTTTGTGTCGCTTGGCGCTTTTGATAAAAAATTTGCATACAACAATTTTTCTCACTTTACTTTACGGAAAAGTTTTTCCTTTTTAATTTGCATTACGAAACATATAGACAAACACAAATGTGAGACTGGAAGGAGAGTGAAACCTAAGTGATAACATTAAAAGGGAAAGTCACGAAAGGCAAATATGAATCATACGCCATGTGTAGCAAATGTGCTTAAACAAAAATGTCGCCTGTAAATTAGAAAAAAATCTGCATAATGGAAGATTTGCAAAAACAAATAATTGTATACGAAATTATGGGAAGTTTGGGTGATAAAAATTAATGGGATCCTGAAGCGAAATTAAGTGAATTCTCAAACAATGTTCAAATAATGAGAAAAGGTGTTGTCCCAACTACAAATTTAAGCAAGTCATTTAAACTTAAACTGTTAAAAAATGATTACTTTCTTCACCATTCAACATTCATTAGGATAATACAAGTTAACCTGAGCTTTGCGGTCGGCAAATATATCGTTCACGTGCTAACATCTTCGCGATATCGTCATTGTTAGACTTTTTAGCACTTTTCTTCATAACAAATATTGGTTCACTGTCATTTGCTTAAAGTCTGGCTTTCAAACATATATGTATAAATCAGGTAAGATTTTTCATTAAGTACTTACCAGCACATTCACTCAGTTGTATAAGTAATGTAAAAAGTAAATTTAAACAAATATCCTTTGTCTATTAAAAAAGATATAATAAGATATTTCATTGAGCACTTATCAGTATAAAAAGATAGTAATATTAGTTATGTAAAAAGTAAATATATTTTGTATATTAATAATTTACCCCCTGGGGTAATAAATTATAAAAGTGTTAACAACTTGGCGATGTCGTCAATTGTTACACTTCAAATGACCAGAATTTTTGGCACATTTTTCCAGAGTGTAATCAAGATTATCCAATTAACAGTTCCGAGATAATTGAGATGGCGTCAGGGAATTGAACAATCAAACAAGGGGGTTTGAACTAGATATATTTTATTACAGCCCAAAAACACACCCAGCGAGTCCGGCGAGTGCGATTAATAAGTCGAGCGAGGCGCGAGAACCCAAGCGCCAAGTCACAATGCCAATTGAGGCTCTGATGTGTAGGGCAAACAAGAGCCGAGCGAGCAGTCTACAATCGCGATGCGATCTCCGGATCATTATCAGTGGGATGAGCTCGCCCGGTGCCATCATTCGACAGTTGCGATTTGTGGCGGCCAGACGTGAGATAAGCCAGGTGTCCCAACCAAATAACTAGCGATGTATCCGCAACTGGAAACGGAAGCCGAGGCCCTGGAAAAGGCTACGGCGCGGGCTCTTTTACCAGGTGCTATAAGTAAACCCGCCAGTGAAGCCGGAAAAGCTCCAACGGCAAGCAGGTGGAAACGTCGCCTGCACCGCCATATCCCGGTCTTCCAATGGCTGCCACTTTACACCACCGAGTGGGGAATCGACGACTTTATAGCCGGCATCACCCTGGGACTCACCATCATACCCGAGAGCATGGCCTGTGCTCTGCTGGCGGGTCTGCCGGCTCGATATGGCCTATGTTCGGCCTTCATCGGACCGCTGATCTATCTGGTATTTGGGTCCATCGACAAGGTCATCATCGGACCCACCAGCCTGGTGGCTCTGGTCAGTGTCCAGTTCACCGTGGGACGACCCATCGAATTCGCCTTTCTGCTCACCTTCCTCAGTGGAATTGTGCAGATCATTATGGGCACGCTAAGGATGGGTGAGTAAAGACACACTTTACAAAAAGAAATTGGAAAGAAATTTTTAAATACAAAAAAAGGTTATACTAATGTTGAAAAGGTAGGTACGATTACAAATGCCCACACCACACAAAAGGACCAACTTAATTTTCTCCACTTATAAAAAAATCTCTCAATAAAAGGGTTTGATAAGGATTTTTAAATTTGATTTTCGACTGTTAACAACTTTACACAATTGTTACAATGGAATAATTTTGTTAAGAGCAATTTTCTAAGTAAGGAATTTGACCGGCTCTAAGAAATCATGTTCGTTTCTGAAACATCTTAATATCAAATGAATTTTTAAACAAATATTCTTATGTTATGCAAGACAAGTGATAATCTGGCAGTATTCAAAACGTCCCTTAACTACTTTCTATTAAAAATAAACAATATTATTGCAAAAGAGCATATTAATTTTTATAAGATTTTGGCAAGTGTACGCCGACTAAGTATCAGCTGTGTTCCGTGTGATCTAACTGCTAAATTGACTTAAGTGCGGCATGTGTTACTTCCGCGCCAATTGAATTGAAATAGATCCGCTTTAGAGCTCTCTTTAAGCACCTAATTGAGTTTGCTGCGTGATAACTGTTATGCGGTTTGACCGTGATTAGCACTATTTGCCTCAATTAACACTTCTTCGGTTGAGATTCGATGTGTAGATTTGTATACGGAACTAGAATAGGTCCGAAAAAACATTGAGGGGGTGGTCTCATAAAGCAAACAAAAGCAGGTGTCATTGAAGCTCTATTTGAAATTCGGGTCAATAAGAAATTTCTGCTGTTATTAGTTAGTAATGTTTATGTTTACATTTATTTTATTGCCGGTACTATTTATTTTATTTTATTTGGAATCGAATAAAGTCAAGAATTAATGTTGATCATATAATTCTTATTTAACCTTCAATTTTACTATTACACCATTCATATTCCGCAGGTTTTATATTCGAGTTTATCTCCATGCCGGTGATCAAAGCATTTTCCTCTGCCACTGCCATCCTGGTGATAGAATCTCAGCTCAAAGTCTTGCTGGGAATTAAGTATTTAGTCGCGGGACTTCTGAATTCAGTTGGATTGCTGAGTTCCCGCATTCATGAGTCCAATATGGCTGATCTCACCGTTGGCGTTTGTGCCATTGTTTTTCTGCTCTTGTTGGAGGTAAGTTTCAGTAGGTCCATTTAATTATATCTATAATTTATCATTCTCCTGTAGTTATTGGACCGTGTGGCTAATAATGAAAATCGCAATAAAATTCTGAGGATCTGCTGTCGATATTTGTCTACCTCAAGAAATACTTTGATTGTGCTCATTGCTGCCATTGTCTCCTATATTTGGATTCAAAAATAGCGGCCAAGTGCCTTATGCTCTAAGCAAGAATGCCTTGTCCACTTTGCCCAATTTCACAGTGCCCAGCTTGGAAATTGTTACACCAGAGCGTAGCTACAGTTTCTGGGAAGTGCTGAAGGAACTGAACATGGGTATTATAGTCATTCCAATCGTTGGCATACTAACGAATATCTCCATTGGAAAATTAAGTGAGTACGAAAAGGTCAAATAAATATAAGTATATTTGATATTTATTTAATATGCAGCTCCTAAGGGTCTGGTGGACACAAATCAGGAACTTCTCACTGTCGGCCTGTGCAACATGTTCGGATCCTGTGTGCAGGCGATGCCTTCGTCAGGAGCATTTACCCGTTATGCCATTAGCACAGCCTGTGGCCTCAGGACTCCCATGGCCAATCTGTATTTGGGTGAGTCCAGCGGGATGTAAAAGCGCGAAGCCAAAGCACAATTTCATTATAGTATTACACTAAGAGTTCGAAATTGATTTCTCCAATCCATTTACTTTGAAACTATATTCACAGTTGTAGTAATAATTAATACAAAATAATTAACAATTAACGATCATAAAAATTTTCGTAAAATAATTTGTAGTTTTGGTTGGTTTATATTTACGCCAATTTTAATCAACACACTAAACATTTTTCAAATTAGAAGCTTTTAAGAAATAAAGTTAAACATGGTCAGTTAAACATATCTTACCGCTAGATGGCGCCACATGTTTAAATAGCGATATTAAATACCAAACCCACTTTTAAATTTGTGTATTGTATTTTCTCCCTCTGTAGGCATTATTGTGCTGCTGGCCTTGAGCTACCTGAGTCCGTACTTCAACTACATCCCGGAAGCAACGCTGGCGGCCATCCTGATATGCTCCATATTCACGCTGCTCGACTTCAAACTGCCGCTGCGATTGTGGCGCGACTCGAAGCGCGACTTTGCCACATGGCTGCTGTGCTTCTGCGTGTCCGTGTTGTTTGGCGTGGAGGTGGGCCTGTTTGTCAGCATCGTGGTGACCGCCCTGCACCTGCTCTTCCTGTGGGCACGTCCCGAGATTCGGGTGAAGATTGAGCAGCTGGAGGAGATGCAGTACATCCGGGTGACGCCGAGCAATGGCATCTATTTCCCGGCCATTAATTATTTAAGGGAACGAGTGCTCAAGGCGTGTACACAAGCCGACTTTAAGATTACCGTTGTGATCGATGGGCAGCGCATCAGTGGCATGGACTACACTGCCGCGCAGGGTATATCGAAGCTATCCAGTGATCTGTGCCGGCAGGCGGATGCCTCCAGTTCCACATTGCTAATCCTATTCAGATTTCCGGAACACTTGCAAAGACTCATCGATCACACGGATAACTTGGTGTTCTGCGAGAGCGAGAACAAAGTGAAGGAGTTCCTCACACAGGAATCCCTGCGCAATGGCTATATCAACCTGAAGGAGCACATAAGGGCCTCCATCGATTTGGGCTATAAAATCGACATCGATTAGGAGCACTCGCCCCCTAGTTAGCTGTTTGTGTTATTTATTTAAGTTTAGTTTGGAGAAATTGTCGTCGCTGGCTGCAAATGGAAATAAAAGTGAAGGAAAAGTGGAACAAATGCCTTGATGGCAGCAATTTATAAAATCCCCCCAAGCCCGACCAACTGACCTCTGGAGGAGACGGGACGGGCAGAATAGATGCGGTGCCGCTGGCGACGCCGTCAATGATTGCCAAGCTAATGGATTTCTGTTTACTTTTTCACTTAGAGCGGGCGCCAAGGAGGCAAAGGAGCAGAAACAGCAGCAGCTGAAGCATAAGCATAAGGAAAAAAACAAGGACTTGAAAAATAGCGCAAAAGAAATTAGAGAAAAGCGAAAGCGCACAGCTAACTTCTCTAACCAAAAAAAAAAAAAAAGAAAACAAGGTGCGCTGGAAAAAAGGACGAAAAACAGCTGAAAAGAAACTGCAAGAAATTAAACTAAAATCCTGGCGTAAAGTGGATCAAACGCAGTAAAAACAAGCCATGGCATAAATTAAGTTAGTCAACAGCGAAATCGGACTACTCTTTCGTTTGTATAATACAATTAAAAGTGGACTAAGTAAAAATGATAAAATAAATTAGATATGAGCGCCTTAAGAAAAAAAGTGGAATGTTAATTAAAATAATATCTAAAGCTATGACGCATTTCGAAACGTTCCTATTAAAGAACAAATCTATTATATTTATATACCTTAAGTAAAATGTTAAAGCAATTGTTACAGAAATAAAGGTAAAATCTTGAAAATGTAAGATAGTGTTACAAAAATAAATCGAATAAGGTTTTTAGTCGCCGACTAAAATTAGCAAACGCTCCGAAATTTAATAAAAACAAGACCTAATTGTAATGACAATAAAAAGGTAAGCTTAAAATGGTAAATGAAACTAAAATTCATTTCTAAATTAATTTATTATAGTAAGCTATAATTCTAATGTCAGTTGTTTTACTAAAAGTTATAGAGCATTAAAAAGAAAGCCATGAAACACAGAGCGAGGCGAGTTAATTACGTAAGGCTAAGAAAGCGAGAAAGGGATGGGCTCTGGGTACTAGAAAGAGAGAGCAGGCTAGTAAGACCAAGTCGGTGTTCTAAGTAGAATTCAAGCACTTGAGGCGGTGTAAATGAAATGCGGTGCTTCCCTTGCACCGGACCTTCCATTTTAGCTGTTGTTGATTGCATTGGCAAACGAAGTGAGCAGATTTAATGAAATTTAAAACGCTGTCCGGAACTTGTCCAAAGGAAAAGCGAAGTGGGATTGTGCGGTTGGCCGAATGCAGATTTGCAGGGGCTTAAATCCAGGCCAATGCAAGTTTCCAGCCAAACCGTTCGGACATTTAATTATTTCAATGGACTCTATTTGCCAAGCTTTTCAACTTGGCTGGCGATTTTCTGCATTGTTAGGCTAATAAGGATATTAGCTTTCGGCATTGCAAGTAGAGCGTAAGAAATTAGGAAGAATTATAATTAATATGCTAATAAGCCAATTCATGGAGAAATCACTTAATGGCCAAAACCAATGACCATAACAGAGTCAATATCCTGGCAATATCCATGTCGACATGCCACAAAAACCAAATATCATTCAAATTGCGGTCCATGCAATCAAATTTTCACACACACAAAAAAACTGTACAAATTATCAAAAGCGTAACAATTTTTGAGTTGCATACTTTTGCGGCCGTGGGGATCAAATAGAACTTGTTGACACAACCCGCCCGATTTCGCCAATCCCCCTGATAAACAAACATAAAGCCAAAACAAGCCAAACCGCATTTGTTCTGTGCCTGTTTATTGCTAAATGTGCAATCATTTTTTTGCCATATTTCCAAATGCAAAATGGCAAACCAGATGAGAGTTGCCAGTGGATTGTAGGCTGGCCTAATAATATTTATTTTCACATGCGGTCAACAGCATGAAAATCATTTGCTTTGTGCTCAGTCGTGCTAAATTTCTTTTTAAAAAAATAATCTTTGTTCAATTTAAAAGTAGAAACATTTGGAAAAAAGTAACCTTTGTCTGGGCTAGTGAAATGAATTAAGTAATCAATATTTTTTTAGATGTCAATTCCAATGAGGAAACAGACACCGGAAAAAAAATACAAATTAAATTTTCATATTTATTATTTTGCTGGTCACGTAACAACAGAGGTTGGGGGTTACGGATGGGACATGCGAAGTGGAGTCCCAGTGGGGAATTGCCCATTGATACGTATTATGTGACTGGCTGACCAAAGCACTGACCAAATTTCATTTCCTCAGCATCCCATTCCATTTTCCACCCCAGCTTTTTGGGGGGAAAACTCCCCCCTTTTTACCACCAGCAGCAAACTTAATTGCTTCGCCTACGTCAATGCGACAAAACGGCAAAAGACATAATTAATAGCAGCGAGGGACGGGGGCTCAAGTCTCTCGTTTATCGATTTCCATCCCAAAAGGGAACTCCGCCAAAGGCAAAGGACTCACTCAACTCCCTGGCAATTGGCCTTTGGCCATAAAGCGTTTTAATATGCGCTAAAGTAGTCAAAGCTTAATGGAAGCACGAGGGAAAGCGGAAAATCGGGAATCGGGGGAAAATGCGAAGTAAACAGAATCGTGTTTGCCTGTTTAAATTGTTTAAAATGTCAACTCCATTGCGCCTAATTAAATGCCCAAAATCCTCAAGGACAACAGACCCCGGAGCACAAATTCAGAGGGCACAACGAGGCATGGCAAACAAAAACTTCCATAACAAGTACAATGAAAATAATTAACAATTTGTACAAAAACCCAATCGAGAGCGATGTCAATGAGACAGCAAAATTGCTGAGGGGATTTAGTGATTCTTCAATTGTTAAAATATAGCTTCAAGGGGTTGTCTGCTTAAGTGCCTTGCCGCATGAACTGGTTAGACATTTAATTCCAATTACAAGTCCATTTGTTTGGTAGGCAAATAAGGAATTCGCTTGATTGATTACTTCGAGCGTGACTTAAGGCAACGTTTTTATGTTTCGCAAAAATATGAATATAAATATGTGAATACAATAAAGGAAATTAAAAACATTTGAAAATAAACAAATTCATTCATTTGTGTGTAAAATAAATAATAGCTTTATGTATTTCACAAGAAGAACTAAAGTTATTTTTGTTTTAATGGGACTTAGAAGAGCTTAAAATTGTACTCGATATCTTACAGTTTTTCACATTTTATAGTTTTTTTTTGTGAACTGAAACCTACATTCAACAAGTGCCAATTTATTTAAAAAAATTTTGTTCATCAATCGGAAATGCAATCAAAATATTTGCTAAATACCAACGAGCAGACACTTGAACAAGGCAAACAACTGCCACATTACGAGTATAGGTATTGGAGCTAAAAACTGGAGCAGCTTGAAATGATTGCACTTCACTTGAAGGCCCAGATATTAGAATCACTCAAAACAAAAGTGGGCCACTCAAAATGTGGCCTAAAGTAAAAGTTAATGCCAGTAACAGTTGCACTAGCACTAACAGTAACCCACTTGAATGTATTATATATATTGTATACCTCTTAAAGATAGCATGGCCAGCTGTGGAGCGTCTTTATGACTGCAGCCACCCACCATCTGCCATAAATTCTTGATTCTTTATTCTCCTTTCTTTATATGCCACTCCTGGCTTTTTCCATTGTGGTTCGGCTTAAAGCAGACAAAGTTAAACGAACATCAAAAGCCAACTAATTTGGCTGTAAAAATAACATTAAATCACATTCAAGAGCAACGAATAAAGGAGGAATACGTATATATATCCGCATATAGATAGAGGAAAATCGAACGAACACATGTTAGGGTTGCGCTGAGGTAACCATTAAGGTAAGGGCACACCGCCACTCCCCTTTCGCTTTTCGCCCCATCACGATTTGGTCTTTAAGCTTATGTTGCACTTGACTGAGTTTTATGCTTTGATGCTCAATGATTTTATTATTAAAAGCAACTTGTCCCGGTCCAAGGATTCTCCCCCCGGATTTTCCCCCGTCTGTCTACTCTTTTTTTTTGGGGGTTGTCTTTTAGCCACCCTTGGTCTAGACTCGGAAAATTGCCAACGGCTTTTCCGGCTGCCGCTGCAGCACCTTCACCTTGGGAGTCGCTTAGCTGTCTAAATATGTCACTTGAATTTGATGACGGCCACTTGGGTAGCAGCCGTAACAAAAAGCAGGAAAAACTGTTGCCTCTTTTCCACTTTTCCACCCACCACACACCCACACCCACATACGATTAAGTTTCTCCCCTCTTTGGCTGAGCTGTGTTTTCTTAAAATATTAGTTCCCTTTTCTTTGGCTGGGGTTTTCTCCTTTTTTTTTTTTTTTTGTTTCGATCCTGGCTGTGGGGAAATTGTTTTGCTGCTTTTTATTGTCATCTTTGTTATTTGTTATGGCCACCCACCCCACAACCTCACTCCTCACCCCCACGTTTCCGTATCTGTATCTCGTATTTGCTCAGACTCAGTTACAGCCACCTCGGGCCATACTCGCACATACTCGCATTTGAAGGGCCGGGAGCCAGTTGTCATGAATAATGAAAAAGCAACGTGAATATATTTCCTTAGGTAGTTCTGCAGTGTCAGGGGATTGGTGGAGTTGAATATGTGGAAGGGCAGAGTGGGAATGAGTACACAATAGTCGAGAAAGCTCATATCGGGAAACTGTAACCTAAAACAACCCCCTTTCTTACATAATTAAAAAATAAAGTTCCAAAGGAAAAGTTCAAATAAAAAAAAAAGGAACTCCTATTTACACTTCAGTTTTACCTGTATAAAAATCCAACAGGCTTGCCTTTGTAGGGCTGTACGCTTGGAATCTAGTTTTAACAAGTTAAATCAATCTTATATTTATTATATTTGCTTTTATAATATATTATATAATTTAATACAATTTGTATTATTTAAAAAAAACTGAGCCTCATCACATACCTAAAAACTATTTATTGAAAAAAATACCATTGTACAAAATATTTATATTCTTCAAACATTCAAGAAGTTTATTCTCTTAAAATAATAGCATTTTTTGTCTAGGTCCTTTCCATCCTCTACCCAACCAATTTTCCTGTGACATTCCTCTTTTTTATTTCCCAGTTTTTTAAATCTCAAGACAAGTTCTGTTTTCCCTCGTATTTTTATCATTTCAATGAGCACGATGCTGTTTGCATTTGAAATTCCCTTGGCCACTCGTTGATAAAATCGGAATCAGCAAAGCAAATAAACCCCAATAAAGGAGCCGAAAGTGTCAATCGATGGGGATTCTATAACCGAAAAGGGAGGGTAGGGAAACTAGATAAATCTCAATGCTAATTAAAAGCGGGATGCGTAAACTTTAAATGAACTGCCAGCCAGAAAGGCCAAATGACAGTCAATGTCAGATGAATGCAAAATAAACAAAAAGCAAGGAGTATTTTTCGCTTAATGAAAAACTTGGCCCAACGCAACAAAAAGTTCAATTCAGGCAAATGTCAGCACAGACAGCAAAAACAACAGCAACAGCTTAGGGGGAGGATGGGGCGCCCAAAATGAAAAGTTTTCCCTATCCCAAAGAAAATGCGATGATATTCGAGGGGAAGGGAAGGAAAACGGAGGACTGCAATTTTAGCCTCAAACCAAAGACAACCAAAATGAGTCCCGGATGTGGTGCAAACAAGAAAAACAAAAATGCTAAACCAACAGAATATTACAACAAAACCGAGCGAAAGATGTTGCTGTTGGCCCCCTGTTCAAACCGCAATACAGATAAAGGCCAAATTACTTTCTGGCCAAGAAGTTGCCACCACTAACCGCAACTTGAAAACCATCGGACAAACAAGAGCCCAACCAAGGGTCATGTTGTACTTTTTCGATGAGTTTATAGGCGGCGATCCTTCGGGGAAAACTTCTCCGCCAGCTGAAAAGCCCGCCCTGGGGATCTGAAAAGCGGAAAAGTCTGACGCACATTGCTCTGGTGAGTGTGATTCATAAAGATCCTCGTTGAAGTCGACTAGAGGACGTCCGGGAATCACGCTGACTGGCATGTACGAAAGTTTTCTAAAACTTAAAGGTAGACAAGGAGGTGGAAGTAAATAAAACCAACAAGATATTTTAGGAGATGAACAAACCAAATGCTACAGCTAGAATCATATTAAAAATTAAAAAATATATATATATTCTTGATAAATTAAATAATGATTAATAACCAATAATGCTATTGAACCCAAATTAACCTAGATAGTGAATATTAACTGAGTCACTTTGTTTCGAAGAAAAGCATTGCAACTATTGTAATCTAAAACATTTTGGAAAACTAAAAATAATAAGAGAGAAAAACTGCAAATCGTAAAACCATACTAAGCCCTATCCTAATCACCTTAAAAATTTCAAACTTTCTTCATCCACTTCGATTAGGAAAGTTTTGCGTTCAAGCGTAACCTGGTTTAAAAACTTCACCTGCAATAATCATTTGCTGTTGGCCATATAAAGTAGACATTAAAGTCACCTTACACAGACCTCGACCCGAATGTAACCACAAAAACTGGCTCCCAACCAAGATCCAAAATCCTGCAGTTCTCTGTTGCAAAAACCAGTAACCAGACAATGTTCGTAGATGGGGAGGAGAAAAGTTTCCCCTCTCCGGGTTGCATTCTATCTGTGCCTCTGTTTCGGTCACAAATTGCAGTTGCAGCTCGGTGACAACCACAAAAATAAGTGTTTACAGCATTGATTACAAGAAATGGGCGGTGGTTGAGGCAGTGTCACTGGCATCAGCAACATCAGTAGCAGGAGTAGCACCGTTTGATGTTGATTAGAGCCGCACAATGCCACAAACATTTTTGCATTTCTTAAGATTGTCCACAGGGTAGCCTGCACTGAAAAATTTTATGGTACTCAACGTTACAAATCAACGAATGACATTTTTAAAAGTCATAAAACGAATTGCCGACTTTTTGCCGGCTGCTTCTACAAGTATAAGTACTAATATTGTTAAAAAAAAAAAAAATTATAACCAGCTTAAAATTGGCGTAAATAAACACTAATTAAAAAAAATGTATTATATAAATATATTTAAAATTATATTAAGACATTTCACCACATGAAACTGATCATTACCAAAGATTCTTAAAATTTATCCTTGATTTTTTAATTTTTTTTCTCTATAATTTTTTTCAGTGCACTGCCGTAGTCAGTTAGCGTGTCAGTAGTGCCAAGGGATTGACCAAGTCTGGTGTTTGGGGCGTTTGGGGCAGGATGCGGGGCTGCTTTGGCTGGTTTTTGCGGGAATTGGTTTAGGTGTCAACTCTGCGGCCGCACACAATTGACAAACAGTGAAACCCTTTTTGTGGCACTTCCGTTGCGTTTGTTTGCTAGTTTACATCCCACCCATCGCAGGTCCCTCGGCCATGTCCTTGTGATGCCACTGCTCCTGCTGCTGCCGGCTGCCGGCTGCCTGTTGTGACAAAAGTTTATACCCCAAGCATTTGAACTGCATTTCATTACGGCAAGGACCCCAGCAACTGGAACTGCTTCTGGACTCGTTGGCCGGGGAAGTGGATACGGAATGCAAATGGTGTTGGCGCCATATTGAAAGCTCTGCGAAACTCCCTACTTTTCACCCTCAATTTCCACTGCCCGCATTTGCAGCCGCAGCGTCAGTCTTTTGTGGTTACCAGAGGGGGCGGCAGGGGCTGGAAAACCCCCAACGAAGCGTATAAGTGGCCCTTATCCCGGCCCGAAGTTGGGAGGTACACACACCCCCTGGGCTGTATATTGTATTGGCAAATATTCTCATGACAATAGGAATTTTTATTGAATTTATGCAAAAAATTGCAAATTTCATTTGCTACCAACAAAAAGTGTTGTGTTCGCAGTTGTGTAGTGGATGAAAAAAGGAATACATTTTCCATATATCTGCAGTAGCGAGCATGTTGTTTTTTCTGTGTGCGTGTCTAAATTTTGTGTTTATGAAAAGTGGGCGGAATTGGCATGGCAAGTGACACCAAATGAAATGCCAGGAAATGCATTCGTTATTTGATTGATATTCGAAATCAAAACTATATCCCCCTCTTGGTTTGATATGCTTTTATTGCCACAAATGAATTACAGCATAACTGATTTCCAATTTTCATTTGCTTCAAAAACCAATAGCAATGTAGAATATAAAGTCTAGAATTCCGTTTTAAGCTTCTCCAAAAAATAGTCAATGTACCTTTGATCCTTCTGGGATCTGTTGAAAAGACGAGCATTGGCGATTGCAAGATTGGATTCAATCTCATTGTTGAGACGAGCAAGAGCTCCGGCTCTATAAAGCCAGGCCTTCAAATGAAGCGGATCCAGTTTGAAGATCACATAGTCCAGGTCAAAAAGCGCCTGTTTGAAGTCCCTTTTTCTGGGAAAGCGGATATCTATAAGCTTTCCTTGTCTTCATTTAATGAAACTTACTTAATTTTGGCCAAGGCCCTGTTGCAATACAAAACGGGAGAATCGGACACATACTGAATGGCCTTTGAATAATGAGATATGGCCTTTTCATAGTTGGTGCGTCGGTACTCGTCATTGCCCAGTCTGTTTGGAAATGAAAATTAAAGGCATATTACAAAGTCATTATTAAATTAAAATACTTAGAATATAAATGTATAAAAAGCGTAATTCCCATGTGAAAAAAAACTTTAGACATTTCGTTTTACATTGACTGAATAAAATAGTTTTTTACTGCTTTTTTGCAATAGCAAAGGCTTTATGGCTTTTCCTAACGACGTGGGAGTTTTGTTTGTCATTTTTTTGTATATTGACCATTAAATTAAATTTAAATTAAATTATTATTTAGATTACAACTTTGCCTACCTGCGAAAACTATCAGCCACACTTTCGCGATCTCGTCTAGCCTCCGCACGATCCTTTGGCGTACCATCGATCTGGCGCATGCAGGACAATTGGTTGGTATTGGAGTGCTTGTGGACCCTTTTAAAGGGCCTTGAAGATTTCTTGCGAATGTCACGGGCAAAAACCATAAAGCTGGTGTTTGTCACACCCACAGATAGGTCCACCTCCGGTTTCTTTTCCTCCTTGCCCTTGGTCCCAGTGCTGCGGAATAGAAAGTGGGTGATCCAATTGAATTAGTATATCTAAAAGAGAGATTTCCAAAAGGTATACTCCATTTTATTGGCATTCTGAATGTCATCAAGCTGCCTAATTACGTCCATTAGTAGCGAACGTTGATCTAAGAAGCTTTCATCTGCATCCATTTTTTTCTGCTTTAAAATATCGGATGTGACTGTTCGAGAGTTGAGTGTGGGAATCAACTAGCAAACTATCATTTTATCCATGGCCAACTTGGCTAATCTTTTCGAGAAAGCAATTATCATTATGTTCAGTCTAATGCCTCTTGACTTCAATTCACTGGCTGCGCTTGCAACGTGCAACATGTGTATGCTGGCAAATTAGACAGACAAGCCAGCTGACATCTGGCTCGTTAGCCAAGGAGCAGCCTGTGGTTTTTCGGATTAGCCCAATTAAAATTTTGTGGCATTAAAATTGTCTTACCAGACGGCAGTTGCATGACTCCATGTAGCACAAGCAGTACCATATAAAATTCTATAAAAACATCATACGCCCAACCCCCAACGAAAGCTCACACCGCACACATTTTCATCTTTATTTGTGCCTGAAATTATTTAATTGAGTTTGTTTGAAAATTTCTTTTAAATTAAGAAAGTTTTTGCACGTGACGTTTTTTTTACACTCTCGTGGTGATTCACAACTTTATTTGTCCCATTTCAGAAGGGTGAGTTTGGTGGCAGGATGAGATTTGGCTTGGGCAGCACGTGCTACCCAGTTAGTAAAGTTTGTGCCCTTTTTATTTTTTTGTTTTTGTCACATCTAGGGTAATCCAAATGAAAATAATCAGACAAAATCACGCATATGCCAGGACATGTGGAAATAAAGCTGGGCTAAAATGAAATTAAAAATATATTTCTGAATTGTTGCAATCACCTTTTCTTGTTTCCCGTTTAATCAAGTAACATATGTATTTGTATATTAAAAAACAAAAACGAATCTTTGAAATCAATAAAATAAAATATTAAAAAGAGACTTTGACATACGAGGCCAATATTTTAAACGAACTTGACCAAATTTAATGGATAGGAGTTATTTAAAAATCAAAATGTCATACTTCTTATTCAATCGAATATTGCAATAAGTGTAAAATTTATAAAAACAAATATGAAGTAATAATTCAAAACAAATTTGATATACTTTTTCAGAACTACAATGGTTCAAATGTAAATGACACTCCTTTTTACATTGTTTTAATTGAATTGTATATTAATTGTTGCATTAATTGTAGTCAAAGCTGATAAAAGCCAGCATCTTACAGCGTTGACTTCTTTGAAAAGCTGAAACTTTTCAAATACTGATTAATTTCACTTGGTTTGATAATAAACAAGCTTTATGCGATAATCTTATTTTCAACTTGAAACATCAGTATAATCTAAATATGATTCATAATTTTTTATGAACACATCACTTTGACTCATATTATTTTCAATTTTCGATTAAATGTAGCGCACGTTTTCCTGAATTTGCTCATTAATATGGGTTATAAGTTATAGCTTTGAGTTTTTCACCCTGGAAAGCCAAGAGTACAGTAACCCAGTGCGTGGCGTGCAACTACTCTTAACCCATTTAAATTAAGTTTATTTTCTTCACATCTGCTATGAGTTAAACCAAAAAAAATGTTTAAGGTTCGATAAGGAGTTGACTTTTTAGCGAATGCCCAACCTTTAATTTAGAAATTTGATTTATTAATTAACGTGAACAATTTGGATTTTACTTGTAGAAAAAACTATACAAAAAAAGGAATTTTAAGTTAAAATTTATAAATAAAAATATTAATTTACAAACTATTTTATGTAAATTCTTCGAATAGTTTTCAAACTAATAAAGTTTAGTTTTCAGAAAATGTATTTAAACAATTTATTTCTGTAAAAATGTTCGTAAATTGTGTTCTTATTAGCAAATGCATTGATAATTGGAACAATTAATTATATTATATCTTTGGATATAATTATTCTTTAAATAGTTCTCCCTGGGCGATTTTTCGACCACTACATGCTAGTGGGTTAACTGACTGCTCGGACTAAATGTGCGAACATTGCAAAAACTTGGCATAGTTACAGGCGATGCCATGAAGCTGTCACGCGGACATTGATGACTGCGTTGACAAGTTGCTCCGGCGGCAGGACGACAACAACGGCAGGACATGGGGCACGGCAAGGACGTGCGAGCGTCTCTGGAGAAATGTGTCAAGCGCGGCGACTTGAGTTGCATAAACAAGCAGGAAGTGGCAAGTCGATGGCGAGGGGCAACTATTTCTGGACCAGCGTTAAGCTTGCCATTGTTTTGAACTTTAAACTTTGCTTGCCCGCCCTTACCAGGATTCTTTTCCCTCGCTGCGAAACTATGTTAAAGTTCAGGTTAAGGTTGGATGGGCTTTTGGCTCTGCTATCAAGAACGCTGACCGCCTCCAGCAGTGCGACTTTTCAGCTCACCTTTTCACCTTCGAAGCGGGAAGAGAGATACAACAGAAGAAAAATTGCTGGTGAAAAGCCGAGAAAGTACAGGGTAAAGTGCACTTATGGATACTCTTTTCCACAGACTCTAAATGAAGGTATGGAATATTAAAGTCATATGTTATGTTATATGTTATGTGACTAAGAAAAATAATTGAAATCAGGTATTAATTATTTTATATAAGTCACCTAATTGTAAGAGAGTAATTTTGAATCTATCAAAATTGTAACTTGATTAAAATGATTGTATGCGTAATAAAATACAAAAATAACCAGCTTGCTGTTTTAATTAGTAAAGTTTTTAAAATAAATGTATGTTTTACTTATTTCGCTTAAGCTCATATAATTTACTCAATCAATAATTATTATCTTCCACAATTACATATTTTTTGTAGAACTTTTGTTTATCCTAAGCTGATTACAGGCGCATTAGGCAGTGCCTTATACCCTTTACCCTCGCCTTTTTCGGGGTGTTTCCCGAAAACGAACTGTGCCAGTCAAGAGTTCAGCTCCAGCGACAGGCGGTATGAAGCCAAAGACAAGCTAAGATTATACATTGCCCAGCCGGCGGGCATGCTTTGTAAGCGAGCTGGAAAAAAGAAAAAAAAAAAGGAGCAGCAGGGCGCGAAGAACGTGCAGAAATAAATTGCATAAACGCTGGCGCGCGCGGCAAAAAAGCAAAAGGCAAACATGTTTAAAATGTTGTTATTCACACACACCGAGCAGAACTGGAAAACGGGGAACCACCGACCGCCGACCGCCGAAAGGACCTCCAACTTCGTCCTTGCCCCCGCCACCGAAAGGCCGCCCCACTGAACTGACACAAAGATTTGCCTGCGCCCTTTTGCAACATTGTTTGTGGGCCTTGTTTCTTGATTTTTACCCACTTTCCCTTTGTACTCGCCTCTCCCTATTCGCTATCTACCTTTCGGCGTGTTTTATTTACCTTGTTAACCTTTTCATGTTGACAAACTGCGGAAATGTTGGTGTGTGTGCTTGTAAGAGGTAGATAGATGAAAAGTGGAAATCTGTGGAAATTTGTTACAAGCGAAGTGTGTCTTACTGGAGCTTTGGCAAGATATAACAGAAAATATTGAAAAATGTTTATGAATAAAACTTTAATCTGGTGTTGCATATATTTTTCGTAAATTTCATTAAATTTCAAACGCAATCAAAGCCGCAACGTTTTATTAAAAAAACTGAAAGGCAATTTAAATACACCAATTTAATATGCAACAAACAACTCGCAAACAAAATTTGAATTCATTTTTGGCCCGGCACTTTCCATACATATATTTATACCCGTTACTCGTAGAGTAAAAGGGTATATTGTATTCGTGCAAAAGTATGTAACAGCTAGAAGGAAGCGTTTCCGACCCTATAAAGTATATATATTCTTGATCAGGATCACTAGCCGAGTCGATATAGCCATGTCCGTCTGTCCGTCTGTCCGTCTGTCTGTCCGTCTGTCTGTCTGTCTGTCCGTATGAACGCTGAGATCTCGGAAACTATAAAAGCTGGAAGATTGGCATTTTGCATGTAGATTTTAGAAGTTCCTACGCAGCGCAAGTTTGTTTCAAAATGGTGCCACGCCCCCTTTAACGCCCACAATCGCTTATATACGATTTTTTAAATTTAAATATTTCTGAAAAGTAAAAATGCAGTTTTATTGTGTTTATTAATACCTATCGAAATGTAGAAGACATTTTTCAAATCGGACCATTCGTTAAAAAGTTATGCGTGATCAAAGTTTCTATCTCCATCTCCCTCGCACTCCCTTTACCTGAGTAACGGGTATCTGATAGTCGGGGCACCCGACTATAGCGTTCTCTCTTGTTTTTAATAAGTTTATCAGGCAAAATTGAGCGAGTCAAAGGCAGGCTCATATTATACTTATCAAGTATACGCCATGTGTTACCCGCAGCAGAGGCAGCATCGAGGAGAAACCGAATTATATGCTAAATTAAAAAATAAGATCAAAAGGATTTGGCAGACTTGTGTGTAGGCAGAGAAATAAGAGGAATAAGCATTTTTCATTTAATTTTTTTTTCCTGTTTCGTAACTTTTAATATTGCGTCGCAGAATTTGCATTTGGTATTTGCATGTTGAGTGTGCGCTAGCGTCCTTTATTGTGTGTGTTCCCCGGACAGGATAAGCGTATTAACATGCAAGGCATATTAGGGATAACTGCAACACAGCAGACACACAAGAGTTCGGGGACAAAACAGGACAAAACCAATAATGCGCATATTAGACTTGATGATGATGACAATGATGATGTGCTCGCCCTTTGGACCCGTCTACCTCAAAGCTCCTTTTCTCTTATTATACTCTGAAATGGGGTAACATACCTTTTATTGCAATGTTTGGGCCAATATTTTTGACTCGCATCACTAGGAAAACCCATCTTAAAATGCATTAAACGTTTTCTTAAAATGAGCATAACATAAGAAGGATTATAAAATACTAATTCCTACTAAGTCTTACAAACTTTTAATAATATCAAAGTGTAGTTCGATAGATGTTTAAGCCCATCTTTACAAATTATATGATGATCCGTGGGGTATTTAACTTAATACAATTAAGAGAGTTGTTTTATTGATTGATTTTAGCAATGCCGGTAAGGGTATTCCAAGCTCAGACTTATTTTCTGAGAAGAGGGAGTCCCTTTGAAATTGATGTTGTTGTGGCTATTGTTTCTTTCGAATTGACCGCAGTGAGCTCATGTCGGATGCATTTTGTTTGTGTGCGAAGCTGGGCTGCATTTTGATGGCGGATGAGGGAACAGGATGTGATGGAGCAAGGGGTTCCTTATTCCGGACGAGGGCCGGCACTTCGTCTAAGCCAAAAACGTGCACAGTCTCTGGCAATCAACTTTAATAACATCACAGAATGTCAATAAATCCACAAAATGGTTGAGCCATCCTTGCAGTCACTCCTGCCTTCACCACCTCACCTCTCATCCTGATAGTGCGGTATCCTTGCAGCAGATGATGATGATGATGGTGCCCCGGCCAGGACTTTAGCTGATGTCCAGCAAGAGTATCATTAACAAAAGGAACTGCGTGCTGCAGCTGACCGAAAGGAGAGGCCACAATGCCGATCCATCTCCCTTCCGTCCCATTTTCCCCACTGCCATTCAGGCATCCTTCTCTATCCCGATGATACCAGCTCGAGCTGCTTATTGGATAGTCCTCTCCAAAAGGTCTGCAGCAATTGGTAAGTAAAATACTTTAAATTTCTCACACTCAAATTATTGCTAAAACAGAAGCCTGCATTTCTGGGCTACAAAAGATTCCACAGGCCAGGAAAATAATACGTGAAAACTAATTGAGAAGGGATTAAGCTTACTGAACAACTTTCACTGCATAATATGGGATATTAGTGCAATCCTTGAAAGGAGCTTAAAGAATACCGAAAACTTGCGGTGCTAAGCGTAAGAAACACAAAATCAGTAAAAGCATATTGTAAACCAGGGCATTGTGCATTCTCAATAAGAAACCTGAAAAAAAAGTTTAAACCCACAGGCTTTATCATACATTTTCCAGGCCGAATCACAGACAATAGCTAGCGCACTGATTTGACAACTTCAATTTACAATTAAATATTTAATGAATTATTTCAACTTATCGGTGCAGCAACACTGCAACCCAAACCCCCCTACGTTTTGAAGCTGTAAATGTGCGGGTATTTACAGAACACACGCTGACCATAATATATGGTTAAATCTGTGTTTTATTTATCCACACACAATTGACACTCGGCGCGACCCTAAGCACATTTATCATCCAACAATAATCCCCCAATGGTGTGTATCAGTTCCGCATTCCCTCTGCAACGTCTATCGCCTCGATGGCATTTCTCCTTGCCATCAGCTTAAAGCGACAAAATTGTTTATGATTATCATTTAGCGAATATTTATGGACAACAAAGGCAGCAAAAAATATCGGAATAAATAAATAAATAAGTGCAATATTATTTTCGTATATATTACATCATCGAGTATTTACTTTATCTGGCATTTATCGATAGCAAAACAAGTAAAAAATGCAGCGATGATAAATCAATGGAAATTTTGTACGTAACATTCTTTGTGAAACATATAGTTTAGGAAATAAATAAACATAAACGTATAGAATGGTTATGCTTATTCATTTTACCTTTCGAAAGCATCTTTAATATTTATTCATAACCCAAAAAATAATACACATTTTAAAATAAGTATTTTCCGAAATTGTGTTCATGATTTTATCTATTTAAGAATATGGTCACGCCCAATCACGGGAATAGGTAATAAATTCCTCTATGTATTGGCTTTTGTTTGAATCCACATCTCATCCTCCGAGTAATCTTGGACGAAAATGCCTGAAATGTCTGGGAAATATTTGCGCAATGCATGAATGCAACAAATTGCTGAACAGACCGGTAACCCCTTCCTCATCCTTTGGCCTATCACCTAATTGTCCAGGTGGAAGGTGTGTAATTTATCATTCTAGCAGGGCCATTTTGCATTGCAGATTGTCAGTTGGTTGGAAGGGAAGGGAGTAGGATAGTAGTGAAGCAAGAGCCCAGAATATTTTGAGAGCAAAAATTATTTTGAATGCCAAAAGCAAGTTCAATCTTGGCGCAATCCAAACCAAATTTATTATACGCCCCGTATGCTTTTACCAATATGTATTTAAACCGTAAAGTGTAAAACAAAATGGCAAAAACCCATCTCCTACTGTTTGCTCAATGAATGGTCAATGCACCGTACCTTTACTGCTCGAAAACGTGGCGATAATAAATTTATGGAAATGGCACTAAATATTTTATTATTGCTAAATATGCAACAATGCAATATCGCTTCGGTGTCTGTGCAAACGCATAAAACAATCGGCTGTAACAACTGAGTGCACTGCCTGCAGTGGAGAAGGCATGAAAGAGGGTTGAAGTGTGGGTGAAAGGAGGTTGAAAGGGTTGGGGGTGCAGTGAAAAGTGGGTGGTGGGTGGTAACCAGTAAGCCAAGTGCATGAGAGATGGCAACTGCCAACCTGCGCTCGCTGACAATGCATATAAATTATAAATACACAGATACACCTCAGATACGCAATACGCATGCCAACAGCGAAATGGTGCGAGTTCGTGGAGGAAAGGGAGGGAAGGGAGGGTGGTTGAAACGTGGCCCTGCAAAATTAAATTTCAGCTTATTTAAATAACTCAGGAGCAATATGAAATTGATAAAATATTTGGAGTTCTTTAATTGGCAAGTAAATAAAAAGTATATCTGCCAAAGTGTTTCATTACTGCTCAGTAATGATATCCGTAACGAGTATATAAATTAATGATGTTTTTGAATTTTTAAATATTTGTTTATGCCTTGAGTATTTTTCTGAAATTCAAAATTAAAATTATTGATAATTTTATTCATACATTTAAAGTATACTATAGAGCTTCGAATTTCCTTTATTATAATATCCCTATTAAACACATTTTAATTTGTCTTTACCAAAAAAATATTTGCAAATATATACAGTAGTTAGAAGCGCATAATTAAGTATGTTTATATTTAATGGCCCTATAAAATTATAAACAAATGGTAAAAATTTGAATAAGAATATATTTACATTTTGTATTAGCATTTGTACATAGTTATTTTATTCAAACGATTTATTCAATAGTTCAAGGTTTAATATTTACCTCATATTTAATTAGTGGATTGATAATGCCATATTTATCTTTAAAATTGTTAAAAATGTTATTCAAAAAGGAAGTAATATATTTAAAGCTGATAAATAAATTGTGATTAACCGTATAAATTATTGAATAGCTTTTTTTAACAGCCCCATCGGTTTAAATGGCTGGCTCCCCTGCAAAAGTGTCTTTATCTTTTGACAATGGATATAACATATAAAGATAAATCTGAACGATCCCCTTGTACCCAGATTGCAAGTGCATACAAATTCAAAGCCTTTGTTGCCGTTGTGTTTCGGCTGCGGTTGCGTTTTGAGTGCGTGCACAGAAACGATTAAAATTTTAAATTTACACGCAATTGTGCCATGGACTTTTGGGTTACCAGGGAAAGAATGGACTGGGTGCCACCATGTTGACCAGGCGGAAGTGGCGTTTATGATTTGGAACTAATTGCAGCATTGCACGACCAATAAACACAGCGCAGAGCAGAAAAATAGGATAGAGGAGTGTGGGCGAAATCGCCAGTGATGTGGGTGCAGGACATTCTGGTGCGGAAGCCATTCGGGGTAATTACAATTGCATTGCGGTTAACGGGCAAGGCACACGCTAAATCACCCAGTGGGTGAGAGGGAGGGCTAAGGGAGGTATTTTCCAATTTTGAATAATGCAACTGCACTGCCCCAGGAGGAGTTGCAAGGGGCACGGGTGGCAGGTCCATTGCCACTGCAGGTGGGCCCCAAGAAGCCCCGGTCGCTGCATAAATCAACAAATACACAAATAGCCTGGCGGGCAAATTGGCGACTCGGAGACTTTGACCACAATACCCCCATTCCACCATCCAATAGCCCAGGCCATCGGAATCCCCCAAGCCAAAGTCCGAAAGGAACCGGCAGCTGGTTCCAGAGCCATTCCCTTCCCACAATTTCCCCAAACATTATGGAAATCTCTTGTTGACTTCCACAAATGAGCAAATGCCGAAAACGATGTCCGAGTCCCAGACATATGCAATGTGCGTATAAATATTTACGTGGCTTTGCCGAAATTAATGGCCTCCCTCCCTCTTCAAGTGCGGCTTTGTGTGATCCGTGCTCCATAAATATTGTTTTTGGCTCAGTTTTCAAGCAGAATATGTTTCTTATTTAACGCACTGATAAATACTATTTGTATCGTATGCGGAGTTTTCTGGGTGAGACCATTGAAAAGAAGACAAATAAAAACTAGTTAATGGATGTTAAATAAATCAGTTTTCGAAGAGAGCAAGCCAAGACAACTATCACACTTTAAATAGACAATTAGTATAAAAATTTTGTTGCAAATAATATGACAATTTTACTTAACTACAAACCCTAAAAGCTAATTTAAGACAGATAATTGAAATTCAGGCGAGCCAATTAGTAACAGGTAATAACATTTCCTTGGTTAAAATCAATAAGAATTGCAAATCAAATATACATTATCACTATCCTCTTACAAAATCAGGAAAACAAGATTTATAACAATAGCAAATTGAAAAATACATTTACAAATAAGAGCTTTAAACAATGCCTCAAAAAACGAACATTGACTGATAATTAAAAAACCTTAAAGCCGATTTTCTCTAATGTTACACATTTTATTTCATTATAAATTAATGAACTCTACACAAATATTTCATTATTATTTTACCTTGTCATCGTTATGTTTCAGATACATACAACAAACAAAAAAATAATTGTAAACAACATGAATTATTTACAAATCAACAGAGGGAAAATGAGAAAAATTACTCGTTAAAGATTTAGTATAAATTATTCAAAATGCACAATGGATTTCCTACTAATTTATGCATGCTCGGAAATAATTAATAAATTCATGCAGTCCCAGCGTTCCCTTCCTTAACTAACAAATTAAATAATTAAATGCGATTAAATATTTTTGCTGCTTAAACAAATTGGAAGAGTGAGAAGTGCAGATAGAATGAAAATCGAATTAACAAATTGTGCACTCAATCAAAGCGAATGTGGCCTTCGTCGGTGGAAAATTCAATCAAAATCTGCAAATTGCGTTCGGTATAAAAATAACTTAATGAAAAGTGCACATATCTGCAGCTTCATTAAATTAATTTAAAACATGTGTATATGTTGTGGTTAGAGTTGAGCTAATGGTGGACCCAGAAATAATTTCTTTAGCATTGTGGCCATTTTAAAGAGTTTTTTCAGTGCAAAAAGAACAATAATTTAAATTAAATCACAAAATTTAAAAACTAGTTATTATTGCATTTAAGTAATTGTTAGTGTATATAAACATAAATCAAAACAAAACAATTATCCGCATGCTCCAGGGGCTCTTGACTGTAGTGCTGTATTGATTTTATGTACTACTCAAAACCAGGCAAATTACAAACATTTCAAAGAGTTGTTATCTGCTTATCTCTGTGGGATTTCAATAAAAATTTGTCAGCCTGAAAGCAGGATTCCAAAAAAGTGACGGCGATTTCAAGTTGACAGCAATTTGCTGCCGGTTAAGTTGAATTGAATTTTCTGCGGGTCTCAAACAAAACAAAAAGATTTCACAGATTCGCAGATTTGTTTTGCTGTTGTTTCAACGGATTTAGTCCTGTCTGTCTACCCCGCCTCCCTCACTTTCCTTTTATCAGGCTCATATGCATATATAGATTTTTCTTTAATTTTATTGTTGCTGCTGCCCAGACGGCCAAGTCCAAACACAGACAGCCACAGACGGGCATTTCGCATAGACAAATAAACAAATCTCGTCAAGTGCCTGCAACGCACACACAGTCGCACGTGGATGCAAGCAGATACAGATACAAATGCAGATACAGATACAGAGTATCTGGCGAATGGCGGATGGCGGATGGCGGATGGCGGATGGCGGATGGTCCGGCAAATGTGTTTGCGTTTGTCACTTTTGGGGCTCTGCGGTCCGAGATTCGGTGGGTGTGATGGGGGCAAAGCGGGCAGCTGGCTTAGCGAGCGTCAACATTTTGGTAACACACACTTACTCCCTCCATCTCAGTGGGCCACTCGATCCACGCAATTAATTTCTGTATCAGAGAGAGCAGTTGAAGTGGCCAACGGGGGGTTAGAAAAAGGACAGGGTGTCCTGTCCAGGTGTGAGTTAAAAATTCCACACAAGGGTTGTGCGCACGGGTATTAAAAATGAAACCAAAACAAACAGCAAACATCAAAAGCTGGCGAGTGGCGCGACAAAAGGCAGCCGGGCAATATCCGTCCGCTGTGACCAGACCACCACCTTTTCCCCCATTTTCCGGGGGCATTTGTGCGGGCCGCCATGGCTGTCTGATTTTTAAGCTGGTCTCGGTTTCCGGTTAAGTATATGACAGTTGCAAGGTCCGTTTTGTAACCAAAGACCATGCCACGGGAAATAGGCGAGTTTGAGCTAGTCTATGAGTGGTCTGGCCACATTTGAGGAGCTTTAGCAGGTTTGGAGTAAGTGGAAAATACGGATTAAAGTCCAGAAAGTTTCCTCTATACTTACGAAGTTTAATTGCTGAAAGTTATCTGTGGCTGATATCATAAGGAACTTTGCTCTAAATATTATTGGAAGTCTTCTCAAAAGACACATTTAACCATGTGGGCTGTAAGTCTGTTTGCAGTTGTTAAATTTTAGATACATCACTCTACCTTAAAATCTATGATTTTGAAAACTAGATGTAACCAAAGTCCTTTGCCTAGTCCAAGCCTTCTAGGCTTTATTACGCTTTCAAGTCCACTCCTACATAAGCCGAGTGCTCGGCTGCGCCTACAGTTGGCCATGGACTTAAAGCAGTATTTATATGCGTTAGAGAGGCAGACACGCGACCGCGAGGCGCAGACCGCCGACCAATCCCCCGATCCCCCGATCCACAAAAACCTCGCCTGTAGCCGAGTCCCTTCCTCTCTAGAATTACCCCTTTTTTGCCAACAGCCTCAGACCTTTAACCAACAGCGAAAACTGATGTTTTTCACGCGCGAGATTTACGAGCGACGTGCATTTTAGGCTACAACGTAAACGCACTTGACGGTATGCATTCCGTTCTCTTCACCGCCAAGCCCCTTTGTTTCTCCTCTATGAGTACACTGTAGAAAAAAATATACCTAATTAAATTTTTTGAGTTTTTCCGGCTCGAGGTCAACAATTGAAAAATGTTATAAATAAAAGTTTTTAATTTTTATTTTTATTATTTCAAAATATTGCCACGTCTGCACCGTCGGACGTGGAGATTATCGGTGCAGACTGTAAAATGATTTGCCCTGAGTGTGCAACGAAATATATTGAAATAATAAAAATAAAAATTAAAACTTTATTTATAACATTTTTCAATTGTTGACCTCAAAAAAAAAATTCAAACATACATCAAAGGTCGCCTACAAACAAAAATACCTAATTAATTTAAACAGAGAAATCTTTAAGACATAATCTAGAAAAAAACGTTTTATGATAAGGGATTTTAATTTTAAAGAGGAATAAACAAATAATGAATTTGTATTGTAAACAATATACCTTTTTATCATATTAAAATTTATTTATGAAATAAAATATGCCGGTTTTTTTTCCACATATTTTTCTGTAGTAAAAAGAATCCATAAATTATGAAATTTTAGGTAGGAAAGGTAAGATAAATTACTTATACTGTTTAAATTCATCAAGAATGTTTAAAAAATAAATATTACAAAAATGAAAGGCACATTTTCTCTGAGTTTTCCATTGCTGTTTGAGTATGTTTATCTTGGACTGTGGCTCCTGCTCTGCGGATAGGCCTTTTACCATATAAGGGAACAACAAAAATGCGGGCAGCCGCTTGTACAAAACTTTTGGGCAAAAAATAAAATATCGCAATGCGCTTTTGTTGGTTCGCAGCACCGAGTTGGGCCTTTAAAGCACTCATTCAAGTATCTGGCAATGGGAAAGCATTTAATTTTAAGCGAAAACAATGCCGGCAAACGTTTGAGAACTATCCACGCGAACTTACGGCCAATGGGCAACATTAAAAACTTCCGTTTCCGCTGGCAAACAAGCACAAAAGAAATGCAGCGGAAATGCCACAAAGTTCAAACAAGAAAACCAACGCACAGGCAAACAAACAAGCAGGAAAACCGCCAGGCAAACACTAACAGCATTAAGGAAGAAGCTAAGGTCCTGCCTGGATTTTTTCCTCCATTTTACTCAAACTCCTTCTTCAGCTGCACACTCATTACCAAAATTGCAATAAATTTTTGTGCACTGAAATTATTTGAAGTGCCCGCTGCTATACACACATAAAAACGTCCATTTCGAAATTTACGAGAGTGTCCAAGAAGAATGTGCTAAACTTTTATACGCGACCAGGAGACAGGAAAACGTAACTCGTAGTTGTAGTGTCAAGTGTTTGGGGCGGTTGGTTGTACAGAGAACCCCCCAAAAAACAAACCACGAGGAGGAAAACGTTTTAATTGCTTTTTGCTTGGGGGGAAAACATGAAACTGCTTTCGTGGGTTAAGTCTATACAGAACCAAAGCCAGCTGTCGTGATCGATGAGTTATGGGTTTTTAGGGGAAAATTGAAATATCGGCAGACAATTGAAAAGCCACGAAGATACAGTTCCTTGAAGTAATTCTGTAAATGTTTTCGAAGGTTTGGAGGTTGCATTTAAAAAGGGTCTTTAAGCTTGTGACAGATATAAAAAGATTTCTCATTGGCTTCTGACTTAACTTAATAAATATATTGAAATAATAAATAATATATCCGAAAGCTTCATAAAACTTATAAAAGAAATTCTATTTTCCATTATAAAAAGGTTTTTTTCTAAAAAGTAGATTTATTCTTCATAAAAAACAGAAGAAATCAATCAAACAAAAGTTTTCAGAAGTACGGATTTAAGGTACATAATTATTATGTAAAATGTATATATATTTATGTATTTTTCTGACCACAAAAAAAAGGTTAGGCAAGGGCTTAAAAATCATTTTTTAGCTGCATCACAAACTAGATGAAAGGACTCAAATCGGAATTGTTAAATCTGTTAAATACAAAGGAAGGGTCTCACACATGAGTACACCACCAACTTTCAATGGATCTCTTGCCACTTTAATACTCTTTGTGGGATGCCCGTACCATTCAATTTATTCACATATTTCACTTTTTTGTTACGCAATGATTTATTAATGATGCTTATTATTATTGCTTAATTGCGGATATTTGCATTTTCACACACTGACACCGAGGGATGCGCCCTTCTGTGTGTTACATCTGCGGATTTAATTGGTGCCAAGCGAAAACATTCAGCCAGCTTTCTGGCTGCGATTACCGAAACGATTTCAGAGCTGCGCGCTGATTATATTCAATAATGAAATTTAAATAAATTTGCATTTAATGACATCCCACACATGCAGCTCCACCTAGACGCATATTTGATATGCGGTCGGCTTTTGTGCGCTCAACTTGAAATTGTTTCGGTCTTTTTGGCTTCCACGATTTGGGCTTTCAGCGTGATATGAAATTTTAATTAATTCGATTAAGTAGCGGATTTTCCACTAACAAATTGCATGCGAAATGCCATAATGGATTAATCAGAGTATAAACAAACCAAATAAAGAAAGTGAGCACAATGATTTTTTTAATGCAATCAGTATTCCAAAAGAATTTAAATTCAATTGTCTGAAACAATTTCAAACAGACCAAGTTTTATTCAAGGAGTTTTTATAACTGACTAATTAGGCACACCAAATTTCTTTATTTGAATGGAAAAGAAATTAAAATTATTTCACAAAGACATTAGAACTACAGAATTCGGAAAAATGTTTATTCCCAAGGGTGATCTCATGTTAACGCTTGATGTTATGTTATAAGTCTCATTAAAAAATAATCAAAGCTTCTGATAGAAACTACATTAAAAAAAAATAGCAAAATCAATTTGAGGCATAGCTCTTTCTATATTTATGTACATACATAAATTGAATTAAATACATTTCGATTAGCTTGGGTGTTTAAAAAATAAAGCTACCAAACGATGTCAACCTCTAGCACGACTCGCACTATCCAATCAATATAACTTGTGATTTCGGTATAAACACAACCATTCCGAGTGCCATAGCTCTGAATTCCGAATAGGACGAGTCGAATGTAATGTGAGTACACAACGCTTTTAGTTAAAGGACTTCCAGGTTCCACGCAATTTGTTTTGTATCCAGCGCAGATCTGAGAAACTTCGCGACACATCCTTGAATTAAAGCTTTTAGGAGAACTCAGTTTAGGACCTGGAAACATGTTTTTTTTCTTTCTTAAGCCCCAGCGGATAGCGAAAATAGCATCATATATCTTTACAATCGAGCTATCTAACAGAATGCATATTGGCCGTATGTGATCCTTATAGACTACAGGATTTGATAGTTTAAGTAGAGCTATATCATTTTTACGAGTGGTTTGGTTGTAAAACTCAGGAACGTAAGCGGATTGCATTTGAAACACTTCTTCAGAGTAATTATAGCCGCTATTTCCAAGTTTTGATCTGTCGAAGACTCCCAATCGGACCGTCCTGTTACAATAAAAGTCTCATTATTCGACATTTGAATTATTAAAAGATGACTTACGCTATTTTCTGATCAAATACGCACGTAGCAGATGTTATGACATAATCTGAAATAAATTTCTCCATTATTTCAACACATCTATAGCAATCTTAGATCAATACAAACTTCTATTTACAAGTGTACCGCTGCATTTTTTTGTGGGTAATTCAATAATTGCCAACCACGGATACGGGGATACCGTTTGATTTGAGGAAACGCTCCCGCAATTTGCATTCAGAAATTGTGCCGATCCCTTATGGAACAGCAGCGTTGTCAATAGGGCAAACCAAGCTCCGGCAGTCATCATTCTGAACAAAGAGATTTCAAAGAACTGAAACATCAGATTCTTGTGCTTAACATATAAACCCAGAGGCAGCTGATAGCTTATCAGTAAATACAACAAGCTATTTAATATTTAAGCATCTATCAGCGCATGCTAAATTCGAATGTCGTGTTTATTACTTAACCTAAGATTATTTTCGTTTAATCTATAATTTGGGAATTCAATTTTTTAATATTTTAATGAAAAAGTTGATTATACAAATCATAAATACAGAGTTCTAGTAAGTCTTATAATATTGACTAAAGCCTCCTTGTTAAAAATGCAGCTATAAATTATTTTGCTGTCATAATGAAACGCACATTGCGAGCGATTTTTAAGTGATTTTCCGTTAAAGCTCATTTAATTAGTGCATTTAAATGAGGTGGACTTAAGCCAGCAAGCTCCCGACGGAGATAAATTTCCCCATTCATTTGCATAGGCCGATAAATACCATAATCAAATGTGTGGATCAAGCGGGAAACGCCAGTACTCAATTTACACTCAAAGAAAAGTGATTTTTTTTTCAAATAAATGCGAAAAAAGTCGTGAACATTTTTATTTCTGAGTGCAGGGGAGGATAACTGGACAGTTAGTCGTTAATCAACGCACTCAGACCTCCGAAGAGTCGGGCAGACTTTATGTGCATTGTCTCGCTTGATTATACGTCGCACACCCCTTCACCCCCACCCAACAGAATGCGCAGTGAATCTGATTCTTATGCAGGTTTTTTACGCGTCCGCGACATGCAGACACATAAATTTAACAGGCCAGAACTCATCCCCTCAGCTCCATCCAACACCTCCAGCCATTGCACTGTGAACAATGCCTGAAAGATTGTTGGTAAAAAAAAAATATTTATATGGTAATTTGCGTCTCGAAATGCGACCTTAAAGGTGGCCACAGTTGGCCCCCGCATGAACGGACAGACAATGGACGTTAAAGGAAGAAACAAATGAAGAGCATAAAAGTAAATGCGAATCCGAAACCGAAAACGAAAATGGAGCGTGTTAACCAACCCCAATAATTTAAGCAGAATTTATGGCATTAAGCGTAGCGCGCAAGAGATACGCATAATAGTCGAGGAGGACCTTGGTCAATGGCCCCTTCGTGGGCCAGGCAAATGTTTTTGGTCCTCCGCCGCCCTGTTATTCTTTTCCGACCGCCCTTCTAATCCTTACAGGACACACGCACAAAGGCGGCGGCCCGAGATGCTCCACCCATAAATCAAATGCCAACACAGTGTGTGCGCTTGTGTGGTTGGGTGTTAATTAGTATTTAATCTATGAACCATAAATAAATCCCTTCTGCAAGGACACTCAATTTCCGTTTGCTTGAACACAGAAGTGAGACACTCGGGGGGGCGGAGAAAAATGCCTTTTGTGCTGCTTAATAAATTGCCAATTCTATGTCAAAGAAGTTAAGTCAACTAATTGCACAGTTTACTTTTTCTATGAGATGTTCAAGTGTTTATGGGATAGAGGGAGTGCCAAATCGATGGAAAATGGTGTATTTAGAAGGAACAATTTTTTAAATAAAATTTTATAACCCAAAGAATTCAATTCAAATTAGTTATTTTATATTTTAAATAATTTTTGAGATTAAAATAGTGCTGAAAAATGAGTACAAGTGTTATTAACATGTTTTTTATATAACAACTTTTTATTTTTTATTTATGCTTTAAGATTAGAGTATTCAAAACAGTGTATTCCAAAGTCTATTCATACTTTTTTGTATCTTCTTAGAGAATTTCCACTGTGATGTGTGTTGTTGTCAAGTGTGTGTCTGTGTCATAGGAAAAGTGTCAATAAACCAGTTTAATTGATTGTGCGCTAAGCTGTTGCCAAACATTGCCAGCTTGATCCGAACTCTCACCCCCGCACTGTACATACACTGCGGGCCATAAAAGTATTTTCATTTGGCGGTGGCGCCATCTGTTGACAGTGGGCGTTAGCTGCTAAACTAATGCTTGACATTTGCATTGCAAATTGCGCATTTTGAAAAGCGCGACAATTACAGCTCATCCCCCGACTTTTCACATTTTCCCCGCTCTGTCTTTAAAAGCAATTAGCGATTAGCGGGTGAAACTTTTCAGCTTTTCCTCGGAAAAACGCAGGGGGGTGGAATGTGCGTATGTTGTCAACTCTACATTAGTTTGATTTGCATTCAGTTCATTTGATTTTAACGCTCGTTTTTTTTTTTTTATATCTGCTGTCTTGTTTTGCTCTCGTTTTCTCTCCCTCGCTTTGAGTTTTTCCAATTTGCATTCACAATTGCTCATTGATTTTCGCATTTGGATTTTCTCATGGCTTTTAAATGCATTTGGCAATTTCCTGACTTGCCGTTTTAATTGTGTGTGCATTAAAATCAACGCAATGATGCATTTTTAATTCAAATTAAAAATCGCTTGCAGCAAAGAGGATTTTATGCAAAAATATCCTACGGCAATGCAGTGAAGAAGCAGAATCGCAGCTGAAAACTTACCGATGGGTGTGAGTTAAAATCGGGCTTTTAGCTGGTTTGGTTTTGGTTTTGTGGCGGAGCGTAAAAGATTCTGGGTCGCGACAATTTAATTTGCTGATGCAAAAGTCAATTAGTTTGAGAGGAATATATAATCAGATGATGGCAGGAAATGGGTGTCAGCGACAGGAAAGGGCCAAAGATAACGAAGACAAAAGGAAATAAGCAAGAAGCTGAAATTGAAATTCAATTAAAAACTAAATTCCCTTGAGTTCAGCAAAAGAATATTTCATTTTGTGAATATTAGCAAGACCGAATAAATTTGTACAACTAATACAATTATATGACATGTTTTTTTTTTGTCAAATTTCAATATGTCAATGTAAAGGTAACACAACACAGGCTAAACACGAATAACACTTGCACAAATAAAAATAAATAAAAACAAAAAAAATATTTTAAAAATAAAAAATGTCCTTACCCAACAAAATGGTGGACAAAAAAGAAGAAAACGATACACGAATTAGTTTAGAAACAGAAAACCAAGAGAATTCAATATATCAACATCCCGAAGCAAATGAATCCTTCCTTGAGAATCATTCCACAGTCAAAGAAGTAATCGAGTGCCTAGAAATGATCGAAGAGGCCAACAAGACGGAGTAAGTAGCTAAAAAACGTATAAAAATAATTCCGTTTAAAAGGCGCATTTCTCAGTTCGTCAAGGAAGCATAAAAAGTCGACGCTTGATATAAAAGACTTGAACTTTCTGGTGACACGGCGAATTCTACCAAACAGCGCCGTATTTCGTCGAAACAAAACAAGAAAAGTCCCGGTCAATACGAATCAGCTTACATTCATGCGCCAAGTTGATCCTGATCCCGATGACCGCATCTTGGCCAGAAAACAGAGAGAAGAAGTGGCCGAAACATTTCGACGGATGGGAAATTTCGAGTATCGCAAATTGAACTACGGTTTGGCCAAAGACTACTATACAAAGGGCTTGGAGTACATCAAAGATACTCCTGTTTTGTATGTAAATCGAGCCATGTGCTATATCAAGTGAGTTCATATTAAGAGAAGGTGTAATTCCAAGAGATCAAATAATTATACTTTAAAGGTTACGCGAATTCAAACTAAGTTATATGGATTGTGACTATGTGATTGCTAATGTGGATCAGAACTATCTACGTGCTTGGCTTTATCGGGCAGTGGCATATAAACGGCTAAACGATGAGGCCAATTGCGAATATAGTATTGATCAGGCAAGGCGGTTGAACAGATCTGAAGCTGCTTTTATCGATGAGTTTGTGGACAAAATGCGTTCGCTTCTGTAAACGAAGGCAAGCAAATTCTAGTATAGAATATCCAAATTGAAAAATCGAGAGATAGGCAATTGAATAAAAATCTTAATTAAAACATTTTTTTTATCATTTATCTTTTTATACCCGTTACTCGTAGAGTAAAAGGGTATATTGTATTCGTGCAAAAGTATGTAACAGCTAGAAGGAAGCGTTTCCGACCCTATAAAGTATATTTATTCTTGATCAGGGTCACTAGCCGAGTCGATATAGCCATGTCCGTCTGTCCGTCTGTCCATCTGTCTGTCTGTCTGTCTGTCCGTATGAACGCTGAGATCTCGGAAACTATAAAAGCTAGAAGATTGGCATTTTGCATGTAGATTTTAGAAGTTCCTACGCAGCGCAAGTTTGTTTCAAAAAGGTGCCACGCCCCCTTTAACGCCCACAATCGCTCAAATACGATTTTAAACATTTAAATATTTCGGAAAAGTAAAAATGCAGTTTTATTGTGTTTATCAATACCTATCGAAATGTAGAAGAAATTTTTCAAATCGGTCCATTCGTTAAAAAGTTATGCGTGATCAAAGTTTCTATCTCCATCTCCCTCGCACTCCCTTTACCTGAGTAACGGGTATCTGATAGTCGGGGCACCCGACTATAGCGTTCTCTCTTGTTAATAATAAATTGTGAAGCCAAAAAAAAACAAACTTAAAATACAAAGCAAATCTAACACTTTAACTGAAAGTTAGTATTCAATAATCTCGCTCAATCCCCATCTATTTTTCAAGCCAATTAAGGTGAAAATCATTTAGTATTTTCCTGACTTCAGCTTCTTTCCTGGATTACCTCATTTCCGCTTCGAACACCTTTGAGTTAGCTGTTTCCACAACATTCAGCTGATTAGCCGCGCAGATTTTTCTCCCTTTCGCTCTCTTATTTTCTAATTAACTGGCAGCTCATAAAAGAAAAACTCGAACAAATTGATAAAGGATGAGAAGCAGCCAAGAAAAGCCATTGAAAAAATAAATTGAAAAAAAAAAAACTTTTGTCTAACTTTCTCTCTCTTAACTTTTGACTTCCTCAAGGTGAGCTGGAGACATTTATTTTGTGCTTCATTCATTTTGCCTCTAGGCTTTCCATAAAATGCACTTCAGATGTCCGAAAGCAATTTTGTAAAGTCTGATAATTCCATCTGACTGGCTGGTGCTCGTTTGGAGCCTTCTGCAGGCCATTAAGGCGAATGTCGACCGGCAGAAGTTGACCCAAATATTACTCAGCACATTCGTAGGCAACAAATTGCGACTCGGACTGCGACTGGGGCTAATGTTCAAGTGGATGCTGGTACTGGGGCCTGACTTTTCCCTCTCAGTCAATTTGATTTTTTAATTAAATTTATTATGGCAAACAGCATAAAATTTTATGTGGTTAGTCCATTTCTGGGTCACATTGCTAATGACTCTTTGGGCCAGAGTCGGATTTCGAGATGCAAGTTGCAAGCTGGAACAGGACGTTTTCCTCGAATCCACCCGCCGACTCCTCCTGACAGTAATCTGCTACTAATGCCTTTGGTTTCTGGTCTCTCTGGATCCCTTTCCCTTCTTTCTTTCAGTGTGTGTGTGCTTGTTTATTTAATTATTTTTTATGAAAATTGTATTTACCATTCGGCTGCCTTTTGGATTTATGGAATTTCTTTGCACACATAAAAGCTGCAATATGTTTTCAACAATAAATATAGAATATCCTACCGCAAGTGGAAATTTATGTGTCTGGCTTACTCCAAAGCTAAATCTCAATTATTACGAAAGGTATATTTCAATTTTTAATACTAGTCAATTTTAAAAGAATTGTTTAGATTTTGGGTTGATGAACTTCCTAAATAATTTGGAGAATATTTATTGATTGAGATTAAAAAGGAGGAGAGCCGTGCATTTATCTCTTTATTCTGAAATTGGGCTTTTAATAACTTGTTCCTTCAATTTGTATAATATTTGTATACATTTTTTTCTTTGCCGACAAAAGAGAAATTTCGCCATATTTACAACGCACCTGAGCTTAGGCTACCGCTTGCTGGACATAAAATAAAATGGAATTTAATTGACGGCAGAGGAGAAAGCCAACGGCAAGGCTAAAGCTAAACGTTTATTTTCAGGTCGCATCTTAAAAAAGAAATATGTACGCTCGTATGGGCCAGGCATCATTTACGATGGCATACACTGCGTATACGCAACACGCAAGCAGAGCAGAGCAAACACATTGCGTATACGCATCATGCAGGCACCATAAACATTCGCAAATAAAATGTGTTTAATTGTAGCAAACGGACAAAAAGAAAACGAGAGAGATGAAAAAAACGAAAATATATAAAAGAAAACAAGAGACAGGCTAAACAAAGTGGAAAAGGTCCAAAAGGTAATTAAAGCTACCAGTGAAAGTTTCCACAGTCCTACATTGTTAGTGCAATCGCTCGGAATAATTTATTAATTAACTACAATTCGAATGAATGAATGAACGATTATGGGCAGCAGGATGGGACAAAGTTGAACTTCCTAGGAGCCAGAAGCGACAATTTCGATTCTCCATTGCACGTAACAGGAAAATCAATTAAAAGCGCTTTATGTGCGCGACAGTCTTCGTTTTCGTTTGCTACTCGACTGTCGCCTTCGATTCGATTCGGTTCGCTTGGGTCTCCCAGTTCTGGGACAAGTTTAGCGCCTGCCAAGTGGAACTTTGTTAGTTTCTAATTAATTGTTACAGTTACAGACGAACGCTGAAATTGACTGCAGCAGCTGCTTAACCAGCCCACCTCCCTATCCTCCTGCCAATTTTAGCATCCCCGGTTATTTATGTCGGATACTTGGCATTATTTATGTTGCATATTGGGCGCATTGTAGTAAATTAACCAACGGCAGACAGGATTTTTCCCCCTATTCCAACGGGGACACAGCTGGCGTTTTCCTTCTTTCCCGTTTATTGGAAATGTCACAATAACTTTACAGTTATGACAATTTTATGGCCAAGATTTGTACTTAAACGCGGATTCCATACCGATATTGGTAGGAAATCATTTGCTCAGCGGTAATTGAATTTTTGACTTGGATAATGAAAGTTGAAGCATAAAGTCAGTATTGATTTAAGCCTTAATCTAACGAAGAGTAAATTAACAAAGTTGGTTTACTGATTTGTTTGTAAACCGAATTTCCCATCACGTTGCATGATTTTGTTCCTCTATAATAAAACTTAGACTCACAAAATATGGTGAACATTACACTTTATAGAGCAGCTTACAAATTAATTTATTAATTTTGTTTTTATTTAAAAGTACTTATACACACTAGTTTAGCTAAACCCCCTTTTGTTCTGCGGACGCTAGAAACAATTTCGCCTAATGTAATTTTTTCATTTCCAGCATTTCATTCAATCAGTTTTGTTGTTCCGGATAATCTTCAAAGGAGAGTCTAATACATTCAACATGATCTTTTTCAGATATTTTGTTCATATATATTTAGTGCTTAACCCTTGGGCTTAATCTTTAATCTTTCATTCACTTTTCTGGCACTCCGTGTTTACCCCAATGGATTCAATCATGGGCCATCTCCGCAGCCGGGATAACGTTTTCGATAATTACCCGTAAAATGTCTAGCTAACAACTATTGCCAACGCTTTTCCCATCGCAGCCAGCATACAGACACACATGGACTTGGCATCCTCCAAAAGCCAATTGAATGGAATCCCCATCTTCATTTCCGATTTGATGGACATAACCAGAAAGCCTCTGCTTTCAGCCCCCAATCCGCTGTCGATGGTGTTCAATACTATCAATACTTAGCTAGGCGCCAAAGTCAAGTCATGAACTAGAAAAAGGAGCAGAAAAAAAATAAACGACAACGGAAACGGAAAAGGCTTAACAGCTGCGCTCACCCGGACACCGAGAAATGATGATGATGGGGAAGGAAGGGAGCTGGACACTCTCAAAATCCGTAAGCGCATAATCATGAAAATTGTCAGTACATAATGCCTCAAAAGGGCCGATAGCAAAGTCGAAAAGGCGGAAAAGGTTTTTACTTGCATCTTTACTCACTTTACACGCTTGACTTTGTGAATGGCCTCGATTGGTGACTTCGATGTGGTACAGTGCTACAGAATCACTTGAAAACCCTTTTAAATAGTTTGGTAATACACATTTATAAAGATTCAACAAAATTTAAATAAATCTCGGGGCCTAAAAATAAGTATTCGTAGCATTAATCCAAAAAAGTTTATGGGTATTTTTTTAAATTTAAAAAATAAGATAAAATCTTGATTTATGTATAAAATGTTATTATGTAATAGTAATTCTTGATGGTAAAATAAATATATATATATACAAAAATTGGGTCAATTTAAATTATCTTTGTTTCACAGTGTTTTGAATTCCATTCCCCCTGTAAAATTTGTAGAGCAGAAAGTAATTTTCTTGCGCTTTTTATTCGCTCTCGTTTTTTATGGGTCGATGCTGCCATCTCTGGCCTGTCCTCTTCAGTCCACTCCTCTCCTGTGTCCACTCTGGACTCCCCTCTCTCCTTCCTGGGCCTCTTGTGTCCTTTGCTGTCCTCGTATTAGCTTCCCATCCTTTACGGAAAAGCAGCAACAGCAACACAAAGTAGAGAAAGGAAGAGAATATTGTCAAAAGGCCTCGACTATATGTTACCCACTACGCTCGGTTTTGTTTATTCATTTTATAAAACTTATATGACTTTCTAAATTGCTGGTTTTTTTTATGGATACCGATTAATTATGTTTATTTCTTCACCAGTAAATTTTATACATTTAATTTTCAAAAGGTTAAAAAGCAAATATATACCTTTTACTTTGTGAGTATTAAAAGTAAGTTTACTTTCACATGCCGGCCACACTTTGATATCGTTGTCTGCCATTTTTATTTTCGTTTCGGTTCCATTTGTTGTTGCTATTGATGGGAGGATTCTTCAGCTTTGGCTGCTGGCGTTGGCAAAAATCAACTTTTGCACGTTTCGATTGTGTAAAGTTTTTATGGCTTTTTGATTTTTTTCACTTATTGCCTACGCCGCTCCAGGCGAGTGTGAATGTGGGTGTGGATGGGTTGGTGGGCGTGACTGTGGGCCAGCACCCCGTTGTCATCATCAATAAGGTGCCTCATTGAAGGCACTTAAATAATTACAAAATAATGGATGCCAATGGCAAAATGTCGAAGACACTTTTTAGCCACTTCGAAGTCAGGGGGAAATCGTAGAGTCAGTCCTTAATGCAATTCGTGCCCAAGTGCCACCGACTCGGTTTGAGAACTCTTTCACATCAAGTCAAAGGGATATCGTCGTCCTCTGGAGGAAAAGCGAGCGAGGTATGCAAATATTTGGCAAAGCGAAAATCAGTAAAAGTGCTGGAGGAAGGCCTCTGTTTGTTGTCACTTTGATTTGTTTGTAAATATTTAATGGAGCTGAAATAAGTGTAAAGGAGTTGAGAGCTTGCAAGAGGTGCGATGGTGTTATTCAATTCAATTTCTTATTTTTCTCAGGCACTCTCATTTTCTGGGCGGCAAATAACAACGAAAAATATAGTGTGTTTGATATGAAAATAAAATCTTCACATCTAACATTTTAAACATCTTAAATATTACCATAAATCACAAAATAAAGATATGCCATGGCGTACTCTATTTACTGTTTTAAACTATTTTATTTAAATGTAATTTTTATTAATTTAAATATTTTTTTTTTTTGATTAATCCGACTGCCTTAAAATGTGCAATTTTATCAATAACTTTGCCCTTTATAAGTGAATTATGTATTTGTATATTTGTATACTTTAGATTCCTCATATAGTTCACTTTCAAGCTCGTTATTTTTTGTTACAATCCCATTTCAATTCCCCTGAGGTGGCCAACGCATAAAAAAGATTATATGAACACAAATAACATTTATTGATAACGAATTTACAGAAGTGCAAACCTTCCACACCAACCCAATCCACCGAAAATTGAAATTGCTTAAAATATTAAAAATTTATTGCCCACTTCAACTCCTTTTTGCTGTTTTCTGTTTTTTTTTTTAGCTTGCCTTTTTTAAGGCGTAATAAATAAAATTAAATTATATACAAAATGCATAAAAACCATGAGCAATTAAAAAAATAAACACGATAGTAACATTTTACACATGCAAATACAAAGAACGCAATAAAAACTTTGCAACACAAGATAAATAAATAAATTGTGCATCGAAATGCGATTGAATTGTTTTTTTTCAGCCTTCGATGTTTTACAATTTCCACAATGCTGGACAGTAAATATTTTAAATGTTGGCATTTTTTTTTTGTGAATATTTCCTTACTTTGTCCGCAGTGTTTTTTCATTTGTAGCGTATCATTTATATTTCAATTTTAATTTATATTCATTTGAATATTTGCCCTGGGCTGGACAGTACTATTTGTTGCTTACTTTTTTGGGCGCTTTATCGGAAAAAGCTCATAAGTTAATAGAGGCCGTGGCCAAGATGCAAGGGAATGGGAAAAATTTTGTATATTCGATTGCCCTTAACAACGAACTTCTACTGAAACTACGTTTTGTTTGTTTATTACTGTGTAATGGAAATCCGATTGCTGATTCAACATTTCATTGTAAACTTTAAAACTTTTCCGCAATTGGGTCAATTCTGTTTACCTTAAAAAAAGGTAAGTGTGTACTTGTGGCAGCGCAACAGTTTGATTTTCGTCATTGAAAAAATATCAACAAGGCTTGGCATAAATAATAATTGATTTGACAACTTAAAAGGTTGTGACGGCTGAAGGCAATTAAATTTTATTAGTTTTAATAGTGAATGCTGAGAAATAACTGAATCACTTAGTAGTTTTGATGTGGAATTTGAATTAGATCAATATTCCATTAACTATTTATCAAGTTTTATAATAATAAATAAAAAAAAGGAATTAAAAAGAACAGGATTTTAAAAAGGATTACTTAAAAAATATGCCACGTCAGGATATAACTAGTTTTCATTCGCCTACATTTTTTAACGGAATCACTCATTCTAGAAAGATAACATTGATGAATAGATAGCACACCCAACAATTAGGCATCAACAAGTTCTTTTCGTGCCACTTGGGCTATTTGCTTATGATTACCATGTTGAATCTTCCATTCCAAACAGAACGAACCAATTCGGCTTTCCCTTTGAGCATTTGCGGTTTTCCGGCAAAAGTTCTGCGGTCGCGTTGAGCTTTGATTTGCAAACTGAGAATGCGGGTGGGTCCCCTTATATTTTAGCATATTAAATTAAAGCAAATGGCTGTGATGGCGTAGAACAAGCCAGACAACTTGCCATCTGCTGGCTGAGTGATAAATTTAAGTGCTGGCGTCTAAATAAGTGATGTCTTCACCACCGGGAAGGCGAGGGCTTAGCTTATGGAGGGGTTAGGGGAAAGTACAAAAGCCCGAGCCGCGACTGAGCTGCTGAATAAACAACTTTTGCATTTGCTTTCATGAACTGGAGAACTGGAAATCGGCTTAGACGACATCTGCCAAACGTCATTCTCATTGTCATTTATGCCCTTTCCCCTAAGCATATTCGCTTTGTTCTTAGCTAGAAAGCTTTGATTACTTTTCACAAGATCTAGGAAACTGCTAGAAATTTCAATAACATATAATTTTATTCGAGTAATATGGATTTCTTTCTGAACAACAAATATTATTTTTCGATGCTAAGATTATTGGGATGCAAAATCTTAAAATCATAGCATCAACTGATAAGCATCATCTTTTGGAGTTCGTCAATAGACCAAGAAAAATCCTCTAAAACAGCTTTAATTTCCAATACACTCACTTGCTTTCTTTAGATTTAATAAAGATATAACCGAACTGTGTTCACTGATTATCCGCTTTAGATTATCGCATCCATAATTCAATCAGTGAGTCAGACACCAGCCCAAAACCTCGCAGCCATGAGGACCACAACCCTGGACAGTCACACGCGAATCGTGGCTCCATACATCATCATCATCCGCATCTTCGTCCCTCCGACCATTATCCTTTAAAAGCTGGCTTGGACTCGAATGTTTAAATATTTCATAGCTCGTCGAATGGGCGATGAAGGGGGAAAAGGAGCTAAAGGGACGTTGGCGACAGACGAAGAGAATAAAAACCAAAAGGCAGAAGACGATGGCATATAAATAATGTAAAAAGTGTGAAATGCGCCTAATGGTGTGCCAAGACCGAAGTAAAAGCGGAAAGGCTGGCAACAGCGAAAAGGAGCCCATGAAATGGCGCATAAAATGACAATTGACAGCTGATGATATTTTTGCTTCAATGCGCGACCGTTCTTAACCATTCATGTATATCATAAATATTTGATCGAACAGCAGGTCTATGTAACATTTTCGTTTCTTGTTGCCAGGTGAAAACGAGTGAAATAAAAAACAGCAATTCCAGTTTAAGTTTCAAACTCGCCAACAAACTCGGACCGATTCATTCGATAAATACCGAAATCCACAATACACGGGTTGCCGTTTCTTCGTACCTTTTGAAACACACACCCATCGATATGACATGCAAAAACTGCCCTCCCTACAAGGCCTCGGAATTTGGCGTCTTCTTTCCCGATTGCTTCGAACGCGTCGGCGGCCATTGCAACAAGAAGAATCCCGGAAATGTCCAGAATCTGCACATTCTCGCCCACCGGGTGATGCCCAAGTTCTTCGACGGCGTGGAGCTGGACTACCTGCACCGCCTGGCGCCCAACAAATACATAACTGCCGCCTGGGTTCTCAGCCACATCAGGGCATCCGGATTTCGCTTCGGCGGCCTCTACACTTTCCGCGTCCAGGACGACACTATGGTGAGTCCGTTTTTGGTCCAAGTGAATAGAGCGACCCGAAATAAGGACGTCTTCATTTTTATACCCGTTACTCGTAGAGTAAAAGGGTATATTGTATTCGTGCAAAAGTATGTAACAGCTAGAAGGAAGCTTTTCCGACCCTATAAAGTATATATATTCTTGATCAGGGTCACTAGCCGAGTCGATATAGCCATGTCCGTCTGTCCGTCTGTCCGTCTGTCTGTCCGTATGAACGCTGAGATCTCGGAAACTATAAAAGCTAGAAGATTGGCATTTTGCATGCAGATTCTAGGTGTTCATACGCAGCGCAAGTTTGTTTCAAAAAGGTGCCACGCCCCCTTTAACGCCCACAATCGCTTATATACGATTTTAAAAATTTAAATATTTCGGAAAAGTAAAAATGCAGTTAACTAAAAAAAATTAATTTTTTTATTGTGTTTATCAATACCTATCGAAATGTAGAAGAAATTTTTCAAATCGGACCATTCGTTAAAAAGTTATGCGTGATCAAAGTTTCTATCTCCATCTCCCTCGCACTCCTTTTACCTGAGTAACGGGTATCTGATAGTCGGGGCACCCGACTATAGCGTTCTCTCTTGTTTGAGTTACTATTTCAAACTGATTTCTTTATTAATATTCAACTCTTAAGTCGCTAACATAAGAATCTTATTTTACTCTTATTTACTCTAATCTTATGACCCACGCAGACATACCTGCTTATCGTTGGGCTTGATTGTCTAAAAATCTGCATTCAAATTTATCATTTTAACGTTGATCGAATTTTTGACCCATTTTCATGTTAGTTATTTTCAAGTTTTCGATGACTTGTAAAAGAGGTTACCGACATTTGGACTTCTGGACTCCATAACTTTTCCAAATTTAATCCGATTTCAAAGTGGCATACCTCTAAAGACTAGTGGCTTGATTGTCTAAAAATCTGCATTCAAATTTATCATTTTAACGTTGATCGAATTTTTGACCCATTTTCATGTTAGTTATTTTCAAGTTTCCAACGACTTAATAAAGGTTACCCACATTTGGACTTGGAGACTCCATAACTTTTCCAAATTTAATCCGATCTTAAAGTGGCATACCTCTAAAGACTTGTAGTTTGATTATCTAAAAATCTGCATTCAAATTTATCATTTTAACGTTGATCGAATTTTTGACCCATTTTCATGTTAGTTATTTTCAAGTTTCCGACGACTTGAAAAAAGGTTACCCACATTTGGACTTGGAGACTCCATAACTTTTCCAAATTTAATCCGATCTTAAAGTGGCATACCTCTAAAGACTTGTAGTTTGATTATCTAAAAATCTGCATTCAAATTTATCATTTTAACGTTGATCGAATTTTTGACCCATTTTCATGTTAGTTATTTTCAAGTTTCCGACGACTTAATAAAGGTTACCCACATTTGGACTTGTAGACTCCATAACTTTTCCAAATGTAATCCGATTTCAAAGTGGCATACCTCTAAAGACTTGTGGTTTGATTATCTAAAAATCTGCATTCAAATTTATCATTTTAACGTTGATCAAATTTTTGACCCATTTTCATGTTAGTTATTTTCAAGTTTCCAACGACTTAATAAAGGTTACCCACATTTGGACTTGGAGACTCCATAACTTTTCCAAATTTAATCCGATCTTAAAGACTTGTGGTTTGATTATCTAAAAATCTGCATTCAAATTTATCATTTTAACGTTAATCGAATTTTTGACCCATTTTCATGTTAGTTATTTTCAAGTTTCCGACGACTTAATAAAGGTTACCCACATTTGGACTTGGAGACTCCATAACTTTTCCAAATTTAATCCGATTTCAAAGTGGCATACCTCTAAAGACTAGTGGCTTGATTGTCTAAAAATCTGCATTCAAATTTATCATTTTAACGTTCATCGAATTTTTGACCCATTTTCATGTTAGCTATTTTCAAGTTTCCGACGACTCGAAAAAAGGTTACCCACATTTGGACTTGGAGACTCCATAACTTTTCCAAATTTAATCCGATCTTAAAGTGGCATACCTCTAAAGACTTGTAGTTTGATTATCTAAAAATCTGCATTCAAATTTATCATTTTAACGTTGATCGAATTTTTGACCCATTTTCATGTTAGTTATTTTCAAGTTTCCGACGACTTAAAAAAGGTTACCCACATTTGGACTTGGAGACTCCATAACTTTTCCAAATTTAATCCGATTTCAAAGTGGCATACCTCTAAAGACTTGTGGTTTGATTATCTAAAAATCTGCATTCAAATTTATCATTTTAACGTTGATCGAATTTTTGACCCATTTTCATGTTAGTTATTTTCAAGTTTCCGACGACTTAAAAAAGGTTACCCACATTTGGACTTGGAGACTCCATAACTTTTCCAAATTTAATCCGATCTTAAAGTGGCATACCTCTAAAGACTTGTGGTTTGATTATCTAAAAATCTGCATTCAAATTTATCATTTTAACGTTGATCGAATTTTTGACCCATTTTCATGTTAGTTATTTTCAAGTTTCCGACTACTTAATAAAGGTTACCCACATTTGGACTTGTAGACTCCATAACTTTTCCAAATGTAATCCGATTTCAAAGTGGCATACCTCTAAAGACTTGTGGTTTGATTATCTAAAAATCTGCATTCAAATTTATCATTTTAACGTTGATCGAATTTTTTACCCATTTTCATGTTAGTTATTTTCAAGTTTCCGACGACTTAATAAAGGACTTGTAGACTCCATAACTTTTCCAAATGTAATCCGATTTCAAAGTGGCATATCTCTAAAGACTTGTGGTTTGATTATCTAAAAATCTGCATTCAAATTTATCATTTTAACGTTGATCGAATTTTTGACCCTCCATGTTAGATATTTTCAAGTTTCCGACGACTTGAAAATAGGTTACCCACATATGGACTTGGAGACTCCATAACTTTTTCAAATTTAATCCGATCTTAGAGTGGCATACCTCTAAAGACTTGTGGTTTGATTGTCTAAAAATCTGCATTCAAATTTATCATTTTACCGTTGATCGAATTTTTGACCCATTTTCATGTTAGTATTTTCAAGTTTCCGACGACTTGAAGAAAGGTAACCCTCTATTAGCCTTCTAGAGTCCATAACTTTACCAAACTTAGGCCGATATCAAAGTGACATACCTCTTAAAAATTTCTTCTTTTAGTATACACCAACCATTATGGGGGACATACATCCTACTTCGCTGGCGGCCAACCTGAACATCCTGTACTACCCGTTCCAATCTCTGCGCATGGAGGCCGTGTTGCAGAAGGCCAGGGAGGCTGCTCCAGTGGACAGTCAGTACACGATCGAGTGGACGCGGCAATGCGACACTTGGACGGCCAACTTCTACAATGTCCGCAATGAAAATGGACGCTGCACTCTGTCCGTGATGAGATCGGTGACCGCCCACTGGGCTCTGGGCGCAGAACTTCTCCTGGAGTGGAACGAGCCCCAGAAACTAACTCCAGATTTGGCCCTGGCCGCAAGGTGAGACTCTTTTTGATTAGCATATAAAATTCCAATTTTTTAAGATTTATTATCTTATGGGAACTTTTATAAATATTTCTAAAATGCCATAAATAGGTACATTACTATGTAATGTTTTGAATATAACTAATGTATACACGGTATAAATAATGTTTTTTAACTATTTTTGGAAAGAAAGATTATAATAGTCATTTTAGTTTTAGATATTTTAGAAAATAAATTATTGTCATCTTTCAGGTACTCCCATTATAATTATTCTTTGGCTGCTACCGCCTCGAGGCAGGGTCTGGATGTTAGCTATTGGCAGCGGATCCATCCTCAAATTCAGATGGCCAATCTCTTGGCCTGGAACCGTAACACCCGAAAGACCATAGCCACAATATGTTATCAATGGAGCTTCTGGAATTCGGCCGTGCATGGAATGTTCGATTCGGATGCCTCTGTAGGGTTCATGTGGACCAAGTGGGTATGGCATCTCATGTTGCAGGACTGATCTCAAGCCACTGTGCTTTTTTTTCCAGATATTTAAGGAATTTGCCGCTGCAATTGGGTTTCAGTGTAGTGATGAACCTTCCTACAGATCGATTTGCATTCGGCATGCGTTTTGTTTTGGATCCGAGCGGATTGAGACGCGGCGAATAATTGTGTGTTACCATATTACTTTTATTATATGTATTACCAAATTATCTATTGCAAATCTTAGACCAGGGTTCATAGAATTACAAATTTGCTGTTTGGAAGACTTTTATTTGGCATAAGTTTACTTCTCCTAATTTTTATTTTTCTTTTGACTTTTAAATACATTTGCGGTGAAACTTAGTTCACAAATAGTTTTTATTCCAGCACATTTGGCCACACGTTGCACATTAAAAACCAACACATACTCATAGCAGCAGAAAGTTTTTCCTTTTTGCAGCAAACGAAGAAATCTCGCATGCATTTGATTTATGGGCTGGCAAGTCTAGACACTGTAAATATTTTTTAATGCCAGCACGAAAGACCAGAAATCTCGGCTCAAGAGGGAGCTAAGAAATTTATATGTACTTACACATGGACACATGTACATATCTATAAATCTAAAATAAATACAATTTACACAATAAATTTCCCGACCACTCTCAGCTGAGTTGGGCATAATTTAGACCGAAAAAAGATAATGGCTCCTAATCCGATATAGAGCTCAGCAATATTCCCAGATGGTTCCCTGCATGACCCATAACCAGAAAAAAAAACGCAAAAAATAAGAGCTGGACAAAAAGGAGTAACCAAGTCCTAAGGCAAAACTTTGAATTGATTTTTGGTTTCGCCTGGACCAAGCAAAACTTTTTAGCCAACTGGATTTTCTTGAGCAAACATTGGTTTGCTTTAATTTTCAGGGTTGTGTGTGGGTATTGCCATGAAAAGTTTTTCGCACACACAACCAGACATTCACTTATATGGGCAAATATTAATATTTCAATAAATGCTGAAAATCCTTTTCCCAGCCTACGCAAAAACCAATCATCAAGGGGGTAAGTCAGTGTAAACTTTTCCCAAAAGACCCCGGGGCGAGACTGCTATCCCTTTACACTTTTCCCGCTTATCGACGCCTTTACAAATCATTAGATTTTCATATCCGATGAATTTTACAACGATTTTAACAACAAAAAGAACCGAGAACAAAACACAAATTTACTGTCTCCTGTTTTTCCCATTTTTCGGCCTCGATATGTCAATTTGTTGTTTTTCCTCGCTCATATGTGGGCAGGAATAAAATGGTAGAAAGAAAGGGGACACATTTCCACGGGAGTTTCGCCCATTTTATGAAAAATGGGAAAAAAGAAACCCAGAAATCAACTGCAGGAAAAGAACAAAAGAAACGAAGAAAAATAAAAGGCAGACATTCATTTTAGCTTTTTTTCTGTTCATTTAAAATTAATATAAATATATGAAATTTAATAAAATTAATGAATACAGATTATATTCTATATGTTGTCAGATCTGGATACAAGACCCCACTTAAAAAGCAATTTAACTAAATTAAAATATAATTTTTCTGAAATCTATTCAGGATTACATTATTTTTATTAAATTATTTATTAATATTGTAAAAAAAGTTTGTTAGTTGCATATTATAAACAATTGGCATAGACTTTAAAATAAATATATATATATTTTATGCAAATATAAATACGTAAAGGGATAGCGAATGTGAAATCAGGTAAATTCAAAACCAAAGCCAGGTTAAAAATTTAAAACCGACTAACCCAAAATAGCAACGTAAACAAATGATAAACTGCATACCAATTTTCCTGTGCCAAAAGTTTTTTTCGCTTAAATAGCAACCAAAAAATGTAGAAAGAAAATAGAAAAAGAAGCAAAGAAAAGTGAAGGGAAATGCTTGTTTGCTTGCCACACCGACCAACATTTATGTTTATGTTTTGAGTGAGAGTAAAACACCAAAAAAAAAAACAAATACACACACACACATAATGTTTTGCTTGTTTTTGTTTTCCTTGGCGTTTTGGGTTCGCCGAGTGGAAAACATATTTAATTAAAGCTATCCGCATATTAAAAACTTTTCCTTTTCCCTCCCTTCGGTGCTTATATTTTACACTCGGCTTGAGTTTTTCCGCTGCATACTTTTCGGCTTAAGCTTGCCACATTACGAAGCATAAACAAGAAAATGCTGGAAGCGTCTTCCCTTTAAAAACAAAAGTGCCCCAAGGGGGCAACGGGGGGTCACTTCAGTTTTATAAATATGCAAAATTTTAATGAATTTTTGTTTGCTGCCCGTCCGCAAATTGCCTTCCATTTGCCCCCCGAAAACACAACCCCTCGACCCGCACAACCCCTGCAGCAAAATATTCATTCATTTCAATGGGGGTCTGCCAAACATTTAAGCAGCTTTAAAATGCGGGTCAACTTGGCGAACCTGAAGCTTTTCGTTCTCGATAAGAAGGCTAAAAGTGGAAATTAAAGCAAACAATGGCAAAGGTAAGCTAAAAACCAAGAAATTGGAAAGCGAAAGGAGAAAATGCAAATGTGGGCCAGCACGAAAAGTTAATGCTCTTTATTTGGATGTAAGAATATGATGGAGCTTAATAAACTTAATAAGAAGGTGGCATGAACCATAGGCTATAGAGTATTAATTAAGTTACTCCAAATTGTTTTTAAAATAAAAATGCAGATCTTAATCGAACGATATAACTTACCGATCTTTATTTTTTAGAATTTGGTGATAATATCTAATTTAAAACATGTTCATAACGCATTAGGGTTTCTTTATAAATTCACAGATACATTTTTAATACCTATCCAGAATCTATTTTAAAATCGGACAGATTTTACTTTTTTTGTATGACATCCCATTTTTTACACCGCATTCACAAAGACAGTTCTGAAAAACAGAACCTTATTAACTCAGCAACTTAAACACTGGGCACACATACACACATTTCCCGCTTGACCTGTTGGTAATTTCACCTCCCGAGTGAAAGTCATAAAATCGTAATAAAATTGGCCAACTTTTAATTTAATTGCTATCGCGCACTTTTAACTCTGAACCTTGGGTTTTTGTGTTTTTGTTGTTCTTTAATTCAATTCCCAGGCACCGCAAATGCTGTTTGACTTGGCATCGGATTAAACGGGTCCGCGCATTAACATAATCAGTCCACATGTGGGTGGGCCTTGAGGCGGGCGGCAAGGCCGGCAACAAGTGGGTGGCAGGGTGGCGAGTTGGTGGCAGGGCCACAAGGCATTCAGCTGAATGCCAAGTGAGTGGCTCTCTCACAGGTCAAAGTAAATGCGCTTAAACGCATTTAAGCAGAGCGCTTGACCAGGCCAGGATAATGGCAAAGGCTGCAAGGGGCTGAGCACACTAATGTCCTTCGTAAGTGGCCAGGCTAATGTGCTGCTTAGCTCCGACTTTGCCCCATGATATGTGCTTAGGCAAAAAAGGTAGCTAAATAAATTTCAATCTAGTAAGTACTTGAGGATGATGGGCGATGATTACATCGGCTTCTTTACAAGATTCCGTCCAAGATTCAGATTAATATGTAAACAAATGGTTAACTGCATTTAATATGTACTCAATATCACTATACGTATTTAAATATTATATTCAAGACCTTTAACTAAAATAAAAATAAGTAGTGGGTATTATCTACTTTAGTTTTAAACACAAACAAATTAAAATAATTACAAAATGAGAATAAAAAGGGTAAGTTAAAAAACAATTCGAAGTTTTAGTTTAGTTATAGGAGTATTTTTTAGCAAATGTATTTTTTTCATTATTTAAAATACTTTTTTACTTGCGCTTAAATGGGCTTGCATTAAATTAGGTATTCTGTTAGCTAATTTAAGTCAAGAGACTTAATTTAAATACACCTACTATTTGTAGAAAGCTGTCCTATGATATTAGTAGCTTTCCCTTGCATTTTCTTCCATTGCTGAAGAATTTCAAGTGCTGTATCCGAGAGGTCCGCACTTTCACCGCAATTGGCGGCCATTTTTATTGGCTCTATTACCCCTGCGCCTTAGGAACAACAAAAGCGGCAGAAAGAATAGGAAACGGCGGCAAAGAAGGAGAGGAATCGCCATTGGGGCAGCTGTTCATCTTACAACAGGAAACGGAAATTGTCTATGGGTTCCGCCTGCCTTTGGTTTCCTGCCTTTATGTATGTTTAGGTGTGCAAGTAAGGGCTAGCCAAAGTTTTCCTTTCACTAGGTGGACTTCAGTTCTTTTCCCTTCTTTGTTTTCCAATACAAGTACTGGCGATGCCCTGGACCAGAGCAACTCTTGAGGGAACTGGAATGGCGGACCCTAAGCGCCTCACTGTTGGACAGTTTAAGTGACGACTATAAAGGTTGTTGCCACTTCTTATTGGTTGTGCCCGGAGGGTAAACAGATATTAAAGAACATAACGGACAGATTGAGAGTTGCGTGATTGCTTAAACGCACTTTTTATCTTTTCTCTGGCTTCCTCACGTAGATGTTTTCCGGGCTCTGATAAGTGAGGTATTTCCTAAGCCTTCTTGGAGAATATACACATGTTTTTAACGTTCTTATTAATCACTTTTTATTTATATATATAAACTATTTTTTAAATATATTTTAATAGGTGTCAATATGTTATTTAACACCCTTTTGGTATTTTGGGATTGCCAATCTATTATTTGCTAAGTTGAAATGAAATCGGTATTGACAATGTTCAACCAAAATTCAAATGATAAATTCGAAGAAAAAATGCATTTCAATTAAGTTTTTGAGTAACCACAGGCAAGTGATTGGCGGTAAAAAAAAAAAGTGGAAAATAATTAAACTGTCAGAGGTCCTGGTGCTGTCAATTACAAGCAGCGTTTCCCCTGCGATTGTTAGCCGAAAGGCGCAGCAGGAGAAAAAATCGTTCATATAAACTTGGCGGGGCAAATGCCAACTGCAGTTGAATGCAAATTTTTTCTCATATTTAAATGGAAAATCAAACAGCGCTTCAGCTGTCGAAATTGCTGATGTGAAGGAAATAGGGGAACAGTGTCTGTGGTGCAACTGAAGTGCGAGCTGCATAGAATTCTGTATATAAAAATAGAATTTCAATTAAATCAATTTTAAACTCTGCCGCATGTATGTGCCAAATGCAAAAGCCCAATAGCTGAACTGCAAAAAATTGCGTATACGCCATATGGGTTTGGGGGAAACTACTTTAAGTACGCCAGCAACTTTTCCGTTGCCAAATTAAAATGCTGATAAGAGGATTTTTTTTTTTTTTGCGTACGATTGAAGGATCCCAAGAGGTGGCAAGCTGATACGCCCAGTCGACTTTTTGCGCACTTTGCCACTT